TTCAAAAAAAAAAAAAAAAAAAATAGAAATACGAATACAGTATATTCTCGAAAGTGTCTTGTCATTTTTTAAACTTAAGGTAGGTCGGTATTTTTAGTGGAAAATAAACCGGTCGTTAGAATTGCGTCTATAGATATACTGCTAGTGAATTTTAAATTACACGATATCCACAGCTAGCTCATGTCAATGTTTGTGTTAAAGAATAAGATTTTAGTTTCTCTTGCATTTTACAAGGTTATTTGACATAGGCGCATAGTTATGTAAAATATGTTAATGTTGAACGTAATGAAAAATGTAAAATAGTTCAATAATAATAGACAAGACTGTTACGCAAGGCACAATGCGATGTTTGTATATAAGTATATAACCGTATTTCTTTGAAAAAAGAATCAGATCTTTTTCGAAACATTAACATCCTGTTTAGTCATCCATAAAATATGGTAGAGAGAGAGAGGGAGAGAGAGAGAGAGAGAGAGAGAGAGAGAGAGAGAGAGAGAGAACAATTTATTCGATCAGGAACCAGGCCCTGTTGACATGTAAAAATATATTAGAGAATAACTTCGTCTACTGAACTTCGATGATTCTCCTACTAAAATTTTCATTATATATATGCATTTTATGCGTAGGAAAGTGGTATATAAATATAAACTTGTCATAGGGTAGTTATGAGGACGCGTGGCACTCGCAACGGCAAGCCGATGTTTTTTTTTTTCTAAAAAAAAAATTAAACTCTGAAACATATGGCATTGGAGTTCCAACCTAACCTAATGTAACGAAATCATTTCTGATCACAACTCTGACTGTCTAGCATGAAATTTTTTTTTTGAAAATTCGGTGTGAGTGCCACTTTATGGTCCTGACAGTATTCCTTACGTATCAAGATGCTCTCAGGGCCGTTCTGACAAACACCGAGTGTCCTCATAATTGCCAATACTCGAGACCAAAAAGTACTGAGAACTACCCTTCTTGAAAAAAAAAAATAGTTATTCATCAGAATTTCTGATATATAAATTCAAAATGTGTCGTTACTTTCTATAACGACTTCTACATTTTAAGTGATAACTGTATCCAATGTATTTCCAATTCACCAAGAGTTCGAAAAGCTGCGATCACTTACACGTGAAATAGGATAGCAAATACATTCTGCATGGATAGCTAGTTGTTCAGTTGTACCAGAAAAATAAAAAGGATTAACCTAGTGAACGCTATAAATAATTGATTACAAAATAGCTATATGGTAAAATGACTGACATTCCCTTTCCATAAATAGAAATCGGCGAGACAATATAATCTTTTCCGCTCTGTTTATCTCAACCGTATAAAAATACATTGACCTAGTCAACAAGAAACTAGAATATATGAATGAAGTGTAAAAGAAGATTATTTGAATAACCAAAATCCTTCATGTATATCAAAAGATTAGTAAAGATATTTCTTTTTCAATTACCAGCATGGCGTAGATATATAGAAAATATATATATATATATATATACTTGAGTATCTTTATATTGTTTTCAGATCGTTAATAAATCATTATGGTTAAACGGTAATTCTCTTGAGTACGATTATAGTACTCGTGCGTATAATAACGTTTAGAGTTTCAGTCACGGTTTTACGAGCTTGAGTATCTTTATATTGTTTTCAGTAGTAAAGATATTTCTTTTTCAATTACCAGCATGGCGTAGATATATAGAAAATATATATATATATATATATATACTTGAGTATCTTTATATTGTTTTCAGATCGTTAATAAATCATTATGGTTAAACGGTAATTCTCTTGAGTACGATTATAGTACTCGTGCGTATAATAACGTTTAGAGTTTCAGTCACGGTTTTACGAGTCACGATATTTATGTGCACAATGCATGCACACGTATAGAAAAGACCATGGAAAACGAAGGAGCACCCTGAAAAGTCTCACTACAAAGACAAGAAAGTATTGCCAAGTATTTTTGTCAGGGATCACCGATGTCACGTCGATAAGATCGGTTTACCAGAAATGCTTATTTCTCTATTTGTCAGATATAAGATAGAACAGTCCTTTCAGAGAGGAGTCAGTACATCCGAAGATGCTGCATACGTTGCTCTTCCTCTTCTTCGTTCTGCTCGTCGTTTTCTTCATTTACGACAGCATCAAGCCGGAATACTTTCCACCGGGTGCGTAGGCGCACGTGCGTACAAGAGAAAAAAGATTATCAGGATTTAATTGCGGAAGAAATTCTTTTAAGGAGAAAACCTCCTTACGGTATTTCTATGATTAATTCTGTATTGTATGATTATCAGGACCAAGATGGTTGCCTTTGGTGGGATGCTTACCGAGATTTTGGATACTTAGAAAAAAGTGTGGTTATATTCACGAAGCCATTAAAGAACTTTCCGATATTTATGGGCCAGTCTTGGGTTTGAAACTGGGAAAACAAAAGTTGATTGTTATTTCGGGACATGATCTTGTCAAGAAAGTACTTCTTCAAGAGGAATTTAATGGACGACCTGATGGCTTTTTCTTTAGGCTACGAGCATTCGAAAAGAGAAGGGGTAAGTTTTTGTTTGTATTTTATGAATCTTTTTTATTGGTATTAAGTATATACTTTTGTAATATACAGGTGTACTCTTTACTGACGGACCGGCTTGGTACGAAATGCGAAAATTCACTATGAAGCATTTTCGAAATTTTGGACTCGGTCAGACAACTATGATAAATCGAGTAACGGTGGAGGCGGAGAATCTTGTGAAGGAACTTCAGAAACAATGTAAAAACGGTCCTATTCTTATGCACAGAGTTTTTGATGTCGCTATCATTAATTCATTATGGATAATGTTTGCCGGACACGGATTTGAGTACGGTGATAAAAAAATGAAGGATATTCTAGATACAGTTCACACAGCTTTCAGGTAAAGTTGATAGACAAGACTAAACGCGTAATAAATTTGGTAAATTAATCTTAAAGCAGAAGTATTCGGGTGCCAACGATAGTCTTGCTACTGAGCGAAATTGATTTCCACGTATCTTCATATAAATTTGGTATTTCTATATCCCAGGGTGATGGACACCATGGGTGGTCTCGTGTCCCAAATGCCATTTCTTCGTTTCCTGATCCCGGAACTGTCTGGGTATAACGAACTCGTGAGAATTCACGAAAAATTTTGGGCATTTATTGACGAGGAAATCACAAATCACGACATGAAATTGGACATAAATCTTCCTCAGGACCTAATCGATACTTTTCTGATAGAGATATCACGGAATAAATCAGCCGATAGCATCTTTAACAGTAAGTATTTGTTAAATATTTAAAAAATCGCATATAGTAAATCAGAAGTGACATTCTTTTTGAACTTTCTGTAAAGGAGAAAATTTGCTTATCCTCTGCTTGGATCTCTTTTTGGCTGGTTCCGAAACGACTAGCAATACATTAGCCTGGACGTTCATTTGCTTGGCACTGTATCCTGAGTGGATTACAAGACTGCAAAAGGATTTGGAAAAAGTCGTCGGTAGAAATAGACCGCCGTGTATGAGCGATGCCCCTTCGTTACCAAGGATAGAAGCTTTTTTGGCTGAAGTAAAACATTTGAATATCCTTTAAATTCTCTGTCCTTAATATCGATTTAGTTTCACAATTTTTTACCCAGGTTCAGAGATCACATATTCTCGCACCTTTTGGTATTCCTCACAGGGCTACAAAGGATGTTACACTGGGTGGTTATAAAATTCCTAAGGTGCACAATGGAGATATTTTCTTAATAGTTTGTATGTGATATTTTTAATACTTAATAATATTCACGATGACAGGACACACTCGTTCTGCTGAGCTATTACAGTGTTGCCATGGACAAGGATCACTGGGAGAATCCCAAGGAGTTTCGTCCACAACGCTTTTTGGATTCCAATGGACAATTCTCTCAGAAGAGTGCTGCCATTCCATTTGGTCAAGGTAAGACATATTTTTGTTGCGATTTAAAAATGTCCAAACAGTATTATTCATCGAGTGACAAGTATGTCGCATGCATTTCTAAAGATTATTTTTCGAACTGTAAAAAGCTAATACACAAACTTTTGCATGTCAAACTTTTATTTGCGTCTTTAGGCAAGAGACGATGCTTGGGAGAAATACTAGCTCGTTCAACGCTCTTCCTCTTTTTCACTTACGTCATCCACTATTTCGATTTCGAAATTTCTCCAGTTCACGGCACTCCGGATCCCAACGGCTACGACGGTTTCTCTATCTCGCCAAAACCTTATTATCTCAAGCTTTCCCTCAGATCCGACTTAGAGAATTAAAAAAACAATCATATGGAAAGAGGTCGAAGTTCCCGAAATTATACCGCCTTCTACAAAATTCCAAATCTCACTCCAAGCCCGTAAATAGTCTGATAAAAACGTAAACAAAAATCGTGAAAATAATCCCGTAAGAATTTCGTGTATTAATGTATGCACAAAGATAGAAAAATAATGCAATAATAATAATAATAAAAAACTAAACTTTATTGGAGCACTACTGTTAATCAGTCTATTAATTTCGATGTGCCATTGGTGCAATTATCACGAGGAACAACTAATACTTCATAAGGCTTAGGCGAGATGGTCAATCCTGGCACGATGTCCAAAGTAGGAGTTTGTTTACCAGGAACTGGTAGCAGTACGAATTTCTGTAGAATACCAACAAACAGTAAAAAGAGTGCAGACCTCGCTAAGGCTTCTCCAGGACAACGTCGTCTTCCTGAAAAGGTAAATTATCATGTTTAAAGACTTCGCTGTGAAAGGTATTCGTGAACGATTTGCTAAGCATCATCCGGGAAGAGAATAAGAGTGATAAAATCAGGAACGTTTCGTTATGCTTTGTTACCACGATACTCGAGCACAACAAGCGACTCATGATTTAGAAACAGATAAAGAAACTCTAAAAAGCACAGTAGAAGAATGCATTCTCCGTGATGTAAATCCGGCATCTATGTAGAACGTGGCTTTATACTTGTGCTAAGTAAGAGCCAAAGACCTCTAAGAAAAAATATGAATTTTAAAGTAAATAACATCGGCCTATACTTTCATCCTGAACCTGGTTCAATGACGTATCATTCGGTGTAAGCGAAATGCACGATTTCGTAACGAACGCTGACGAGCGGTGGATCGTGAAATTCTCTTCATAGAAATTCGCATAGATTCCTTAGTAGTTAGTCACGAAATAACAGTAACGTAACGTAACATTGAAAATTTAATGGTTAAATTTAAATAAATATTACCACGACCGAAGAGCATTAGATTCTCATCTGGCACGTAGACGCCATCTTTTATAAACCGTTCCGGTTTGAATTTCTCTGGTTCAGGGTAGTGCAGTGGATCCATATGAACGCTGTAGACGTTAATCAGGACGGTGGTGTTTTCAGGTATTGTGTAACCAAGTAGTTCCGTGTCGGAGAGAACTCGTCTCGGTCCGATGACTGGCGTAACCATGCAAATTCTCTGGGACTCGGTCAATACGGCTTCGGTGTATGGTAGACTATTAGGGAAAAAAAAGAATTCAGGAATTCCCAATTTCGAAAATATTCCTAAAATATTTTATTTGTTTTTTGACTCAGAGAATATACGTTTAACCGATCCTCGTGAGAATATTGGAGTTAGAGTTACTTTAGCTACTTACTTAGGTCTGTCGCTCAATTCCGGAAGCCTCTCACGCCCGACTATGGCGTCTACTTCCTGCTGCAGTCGTTTCTGCTTGTCCACGTGCATCACCATGTTAAGAAAGAGGAAATCCAAAGTCACTGTTGTGGTCGTGATACCCGCAATGAAGAGATCCATCAATATCATCACCAGCTGATCCTCTGAGAAATCATAGCAGTTTTACTCTCTAATACGTGTAGGGGGTTGTTGAGAATGTGAAAAAAATTTCAAGTGAAAATACTTTCTCCTTCGACTTGTAGACGCTTTGATTAGCGCTATTAGTCCGATCGCACGCAAGTATAGGTTGCAAGTCTTTTATTTCGCGGTCATGAACGAACGAGAGTTTTACATAATAACGGAACACGTGTCTGCTGTACGTTGGCACGTAAGTAAATCATTGAATAAAGATCGTTACAGAATTTATTGCGAGTTCGTTATTGCTAACTGGATCGATAACAGTTTAAACGATAAAAAAATACATGTTCTAGATTTCTAGTTACCTGTAAAACCAGCCTTTGCTCCTTTTCCACTGTACATTTCACCTAGGAACATATCAATTAAGTCATCTTCGTTTCCTGGAGTATAATTTTCCTTATGCTCGTTTATAATATCCTAAGAGAAAAATTGAAGAGAAGTCTGATGATTAATATTCAAATCGATATACCCGGACACATTGAAATTACTTGTCAAAGCGGAAGTAGAAGTACCATAAGAAAGTTCTTGATCTCCTCATTAAAAACCATAAGTACGTTGTACCCTGAGAATTCCGGAGCTAAATATCGCATCCAAGGGAAAGTCGAGAGGATTCCACCAGACATATCGAAGGCTTTGGCACGACGTTCCATTAATTCCATAAAGTACTGTAACCTAAATGATAATTAATAAAGATCACGAAACAAAGTATCTGTCTGTTCGCTTATTTCTATTGCTCATAAACGTCATGGCACAATGAATTTGCAAGACAGTAAACTCCTGAGTATTTCTCAGAGTGTACCGTACTTGTTGACAAGCGCTTATTTCCCCATATGCAGATGACTCCTGTGACACGAGACCGATAATTCTCGATGCAGTGAAATCAAGCTGTGTCTACCTGGGTCCCTCGCACAGTCGCTTTCCCGTTGCCATCGTCCACAGAACATTTATTACTGCCGGGGCGATAACTGGTTTCATTGAGCGTACTCCGCCAACCTTAAGATTCTCGACAACGTGGACGACCTCGTCCTTGATCATGACAGACATTTCTCTACGTCCAAACCCAACGCTTCTCAAGGACCTTACCACCCAGGCTCGTATTTCTTTCCATTCGGGTCCATCCGACATTGTGATTCCTAGAGAAATCAAGTCCAAGTCAATTAACTGGTTTAGCCGGACACGTGGCTTCACTGTTCTTGTCAACGTCGTCATATAAAAAACATGAATAATAATTGTGAATTTATTATATATTATACCTTTACGCATTCCCATATTCCTGATCTTTATGAATTCGTTCCACGGACGTCCTTCGTACTCCTGACCATTCAGAATCGTTTGAATTCCTTCATAACCCGAGACAGCTATCATATTCTGCCTTCCTAAACGAAGTGCTATCACGTCACTGGAATACCTTCGTGAAAGCTCCAAAAGTGCAAGATGCTGACCACCATGAGTGCATGCTAATTTTCGGAGCTGATATATATTCCCAACCAGTGGCCAAGAATAAGGTCCTGTATTATATAAAACATTATCAATAAATTTAATAGTCTTAATATATATTTTTTTCTGTAAATAATAATTAAGCGCATGCTAAATATTATTCATAGCTTTTAGTTATGTAAAATTATTTATTAAGTTACTCAACGCTACGTTACCTGGTGGGTAGTTTTTAGATTTCCCGCCGGATAAGATGCAGGCAACGAATAAAAGAACGACTATGGCCAGCAGTATGTCTGTAAACATTTTTTAAAATTTACTAGACCGATATCACCAAACGCACGCACGAAAATTTTAAGTTGTTATCTAACGACCATACGACCGCAGAGCCACTCAAGAAAAACTTCGTGTTCGCAAAGGTCTCGCGTGACTGTTCTATAAGCGCCCTCTTAATGTGTTAGACATTCTAACATCCTTCATAATGCTCGTGATTGTGTCGCCTTGTTAAGCTAAAGGCAACTCTTTAATAGGGCACACTAAATTATTGTTATATATAGCATGGTAGTGTATATATAGAGCATACCGCTGACTAACAAGTAAATGGTTATTGGAGGATTAATACAGTTTCTAGAATAATTCTCATTTACGAAAAATTGTTTAAAACTTATTTATAGTAATAAGAAACATTGTCAGGTAGATTACGTATAGGGAGAATGAAGACTTCATACCGGTATTTATTAGGTCGATTTCTTTATTAGGTCATAAGTAATTCCCGTTTCTAGTAATAAATTGTAACAATGTATTATTATTTTAATGGCTCATGATACTCGACAAACCAGAATAAATCAATAAAACTGATATACTAAAATAGAAATTATATATTATTCGACCTAATAAATTAAAGATATAAATATTTAATAACAGGTTTCGCCAATACTTATGCCATATATTACAAATATTTATCGAACCATTTTATTTGATTTATACATGTACAAAGTATATTTACATAGTGGTACAGTCTAGTTTATAATACATCTAAGTCGACGTCTTTTCTTGGTTTCTTTTTTAGCGGTTTCCGCCCTTTCATACTGTCCATTTTCCGCTTCTTAGCCTCCTTTTTCTTTTGCTGCCTCGCGATTTTCCGTTTTGCTGCCAATTCCGGGTCGGTGACGAACTATAATTGAAGTTGATATGAGGGATTTGTTCTGTTATGCAAATACTATTTTTCTTTGCTTTATAAATTAACATATTTCCAATACCTGTTGCGTCCTTGTCTTCTTCTTTTCTGCTCTCCTGGTGTCCAATTTTTTCTGAACATTACTGAGTATTCTTGTATAATCTTCACTTCCTAATCTTTTCTTAATCATTGTCGCAACTTCTTTGGCTAATTGTCGAAGTGGCGCGTTAGATTCTTCAATCGTTGACATTTCTCGTACCAGCGGAGACATAATGTTAAAGAGCACTGGTTTCAGGTACTCAATTGGTATCGTAGCTACTACTCCAGCGGACCATTTGAACACTGCAGTTCTCTAACAGACAGATCAAATTTCGAATATAATTTCATAATAAATATATTATATGTTTTGAAAAATCAATTGAAGTTACCATGCCTGTCGATTTGGGCGCTTGCGTTATTTCTATGTTAATAACTTTTCGCATTCTCTTGACAAGCCACAGAAGCGATATATCGTTACTACTATTTTTCTCGATTTCGTTTTCGTCTTCATCTTTTGCAGTCTTAGATCCAACATCCTTAATCACTCTGGCGATAAAAATAAGATTTTTCACGACTTGATCGGCCAATTCCTCGAATGTCATCTCTGGGTGTAATTGGGCAGCTAAATCAAGAACTAAACTCCTAATAGTATTGATGGGATCACAATAAATGTAACCACTATCAGGGTCACATTGGTCGGGCTTTTTAAGGTGTTCGGCGACAAGATCAATGTCAAGAGCAGCCAAAATGAAGCCAAGTAATTGACAAGCAGCTAGTCGAATCCATAAATGAGGATGAGCTAGTAATGACTGACTGTGTTCTGTAAAGAAATTGTACGTTAAGGTATTAGTAACAAGTGCATTATTTTTATATCGAAGAAAAAGCAAGTCCACTCACCAGCAAAACCGCGCACAGTACTTTCGTAATCCTTGTTTTTCAAGAAATCAGGACAATTCGCTGATATTTTTAGCAACAATTGCAAAACTTGGAACAAATGATGATCGTGAATCCTTTCCGGATCTCCACTGTTCCCGTCTAAATGTTTAACGTGCTCCGTCTCCTTACGCAATTTTACAAAGCGTCCAGGTTTTGATTCGTCAACACCATCAGGATAAAATTGTTTCAATACCATGGGCAGTAAAGTTGGAAGACGTGTTTCGAAATTATTTTTCTCAGCAGTAACAAAAATACCACATAGTTGGGCTGCCAATTGTCTGTGTGAAATCTAATTGAAGAAAGCTTATAATGCCTGATCTAAATCTGCGATATGTAATTATTAAGCAACTTTTAAATTTACCTTGGTATCCTTTAACCATAGAAGTACAATATCGAACAATACGGTTCTTTGATTGTGAGGAACTCTAATGATCATTTCTTTAATACACTTTGCACAAAGTTTTCGGCAAGTAGGATCATCGTCATTGACCAATCTTGCACCAACCATGAAAAATAATAATCCTGATTGTCTAATAAGAACTTTCTGAAAGTAGACAATCATAGATTAATTAAAAACTTACTTACGCAACTATGAGAAATAGTGTCCTAGGAAGTTTAAATTATAAACTTACAAGAGGAAATCCAGTTATGATACTGTGTATCATTTCCAGCGCACTAAGCCGACCGGGCTGCAGCTCATAACTTAGTTGAGACAGATAGAAAGATAAATGTTTCTCAATTTTTTTTCCCAGAGGATATTCCATAAGGAACATATAAAATACAGAACGCGATTGTTGCCTGACGTGGTCCAGTTCAGACGTGATGCTCAGCATTGCAACCTTTTCCATAACATTGTTCATTTCCGAAATCACCATCTTGCGACTTATTATCGCTTTGATTAAAGTGAATGCCGTAGCTTGTTTGTCACAGTCATGTAAGTCTTGCTCAGCGTATAACACGAGCGCTTTGAGTTGATCATTGCTGATTGTGAAATGTTTAACATCTCGTACGAGAACAGACATACACTTGAAAGAAGCCATTACAAGGTCGAAATTATCTCCTTTACTTAAACCGGCTGCAGCATACTTATGTAGGATACCAAACATGGAAGTACAAATATCTGAGACTGAAGATTTCATTGATGGCAACTCCATCTTGAGTATCCAGTTTAGACACTGTAGAGTCAAAGCACTTAACTGTAACATAAAAACTATTTTAATACATTCTGAAAGGCATTATTACAGTTTTTGATATTGCAACATTTACCTTCACGTGTTGAGATTTCAGACAGTCACTCAGGACTGGCACAAATGGATCTATGTATGGCTTAAATTCAGCATTAGATATGCGATCTCTTTTAAGAAGAACATGAAAGAGTTTTAAACCAAACTCAATCATAACATGAGCATTAGTATTAATGGATATCTTTGCTGCTGCTTTAATGCCCATTCGACTTTTCGGTTCTGCTTGAATAATGAAACAGTCAGGTTTCTTTTTAGTTTGTAGCTGAGCCTCTTTTTCAGATAATGGGTTATTCTTCTTCGTAGGTAAAAGATGTGGTATACTTTCAGAAACTATTCCATATAGAAATATAAGCATCTTATCGACGGGTATAAAGGTATTGTCTGCTAATCCCAAAACTATATGTCTCAAGCATTCAACAATTTTGCGTACAACTTTGAAGGAATGTGTTTTAACCAGTACATCCCTTAGCGGCACAATCAAATCCACTAAACAGGATTCTGTTATATATTTTCCCAGTATATTGAAAATATCAAAGCTTTTGGTAGACTTTGCTTCAGAAACATTCTTCACGATACCAGCGATTTCTTTCTCTTCTGCTGTCAAACCAAACAGGTCGACTTTGCATACCTAATACAGAGAAATAGTAGCACGAAATAAAAGAGTTATTACCCATATTTGGATGTTAAATATTTTTAAAATTTATAGCACTCACCGATAATATACTTTGTAAATTTTTGTTTATATGAAGTGGTTCGAAAAAGGGTTTCAAAGAAATTAGAACAGCATGTATAGTATAAACTAGTACATGAATTTGAAATCCTTTTGTTAATAAACTATTCATTTCTCTTAATAAATGATGCAGATAATTAGGTCCCAAGGTAATCATAATCTTCTGGAGAGTTTCTCTTGTCACGCGTCGGATGGAATCCAAACGAGATTTAAGAAAAGTGCAGAGCTTCATCAAAATGCTAAAACAATATATTAAAGGTGTAAGTATATGCGAATTAAAAGTAAAAATTTGCTACGAAACGTTACATTTTCACAAAACTAATATGCTCACCCAGGTAAGTTATTATCCAACATTCCCTCAGGTAGTTTTTGTAATAACTTGACAACAGCCAAAGCAATAGGAACTCTCATAAGTTCTTCTTCTTCTCTATCAGCTCCAGTTTTCCTCCTATTCACCTTGTGACTTGATTCATGTTGAGTCCGTGCCATGATAGAACGATGCAGTTGTGGCAGTAATACTTTTGATATACCAAAAACTACTCTTCTTGCAGCTGATTGAGAAAGTAATATCTGCTTTTGCATAATGAGTATATCTGGCTGGACCTCCTCATTATCTTTCTCTTCTACTTCATCATGATGCACTATTTCTTTATCCAAAGCTTCGTCCAATTTTGCTTCATCCTCCTGATTATCTTCTTCATTATTTTCTTCAGTTAAAATTTCTTCTTTAAAATCCTGGGGTTCAGTTTTGCTTTCGGCACTTTCAATACTTTTCTCTGTATGCTTTGGTTCGTCTAAAGGTTTGTATTTTGCGAGATCATAATGAAAAGCATCCAAAATGGCAACAATAATCCTAACAACTTGTCTTTGAAATTCTACAGATGATCTTAATTTATCCAAATAGAATTTCAATACTACTTCGTACTGATGCCATGGTAAAAGTCTGCACACGGTACCTACAGTTTCTATAGCAGCATCTACAATGCTGTTTTTATTCGCAAAGGATTCATTGCATAAATACGATGACGCCACAGGAAGAATAAATTGAGTTAGTGTCTTAGGATTTGGTGATTTCTTCAAAGTTTTTGCTACGGAGCAGAACTTCAGTAATGCTCGAGCTTTTCTGTGAAGTTGTAGATGTTGCAAGTTCTCAAAGAAATCCACTTCAGGATCAGCTTTATTAGTTAGAGGTGATAAGTCCCTCAAGACAGCATGAACGTCAGGGCATTCCATAGCCATCTGGCCTAAAAAGGCTATGGACTGTAATCGTACTACTTCATTTTTACTTCTTATACCGTTTCTGACAATAGTCAGTATTGTATCGTCTATCAAATACTTTCTGTCAACATTATTATCTTTGTGCGCCTTGGCTAACACGGGGCCAATTGTTTTTAGACACTGACCAGATGCATCGCGTAATGCTAAGTCATTTTCATGCTTCAGGAAGAAAAAGCAATTGTAAATAATAGCAACCCCAAACTCCAGTCTAATTGAATTTGTCTTGAGTAACACATTTATCTCACTGAAAGCATCCAATCTTTTTTGAAAATCTGGTTGATCAATCCACCTGTGATCCCAGGCATTAAGAGTAGCGAGCAATTGGGAATTTCGTATCATAATCTCCCGGTACTCCTCTGCTGATGCCGTTGATATAGTTTCAAATAGTTGAATTAAAAGCTTTCTAGCTGGTGCAGCTGAGATTACACTCAGTAATGGTGTTATCGATCTAATATGAATTTCTGGCTTTTTTACATTCTTTGTCAAATTAATAACTGTTGTTACGAGTTCTAATATTACTTCCTCCGTTACACCTAGAGTGGCTTTCTTTATCAGAATAGGTACGACCAAAGTAAGCAATGTATCACAAGTTTCTGGATCCGATACTAACTCAGATACTCGCGACAGTATCATTAATTCAGCTTTATTAACACCTTTGTTAGATTTCTTCAATTTTCTCTTGATGTATTCAAGGATGTCAGATACATGTGGCAACAGAATAGCGGATCCGTAATTTATACCTTGAGGTAAAGTTTGTAGGTCTATATTTATTGTGTTTTTAACTATACCAGTCAATGAAGATGCTTTTACATCCACTTCCATCCGATTAGGATCATCACTGACTTTTCCATAATCTTCTAGCGTCAACATTTTCTCTATCATTTCGACTATAGTCTTAATCACTGATGGATGTGTCTTGGCTCCCAGAAGAAGGCGCATTACGTATGGCAATGGCGTCATTGTCGGATCATCTTGACGATGCTTCACTAAGAGAGGATAATATCGCGAATTCTGACTCCAGGATACAAATAATTTTAATAGAGCTGTAGGACTATGAATACCCTCAATAGGTAATTTCTCCAGCCAAGGAAATACCGCGACATTGAACAGAGCATCGATTTCAGAAGAAGTCCATTCGTAATTTTCAAAGTGTGCAAAAAATCTTGCTAATATACCAATGCTGCTAGTGCGTACGTTTCTGATGGACGATAAGTATCCTTGATGAACGTTATCGGACATTCTTAAAATTCCTGTTACTTGTGCCAAAATACAGAAAACAATTCCTAGTAGACGAGGTAGCAGTTTACTCGCCATTTTACCTCCAAATTGCTCAATCACAATAGCAAGAAGATTCACAGAACTCTGTAAGCGTTTAGGCGGAATCACGCTAGTCAAGTCTATTGTACTTATTGTATTCTGTACTAAATCTTCCGGATTCAATTCATCCTCCAATGCCAGTGGTACGTATTTTTGGAAGAGTTTGAATGCCATCTTAGTGAATATCATCATTTCCTCTTCTTGACTCCCAGCCAGGAAGCGAAGAATTATTGTTCTCCTTGCGAGACCTCCGCCTTTACCACCTGTTCGTAATCCGGTCTTCATGACCATTTTGGCATAAATTATTCGCATCAATATTGGCACAAGACCTGCCCGATGATCTTCTTGAATCATATTGCTTTCTTTGTCGATTTTAAAGCGAGCAAGCTCGTTCTTTAAATTCTTCTCGTCGACTAAATTGTACAAGTGCTCCTTGTATGGCTGAAGATACTTGTGCTTGTACGTCATTAAACAATTAAGCGCAGCTTTTTGAACTTGAGGATTTTTTGAGGACAGTAGATCCAAGTAAATCTTGTATACTTCTGCTTCACGGTACAACGTCTTCGGATTAGATATTTTAGAAAAAATCTCCATCTGTGCTAAGAGATATTTTAGTTTAAAATTTCGACTATTCTCAAATTTGGGAGGTTTAAAATCCGATTTATTGACAGTCTCCTCTTTTTCATCATCATCGCTATGTTCTTCCTGCTGATTGTCCACAACAATTGTTTCTTTATGTTTCGCTATATTGCAGGACTTGGAATCTTCTGAGTTAATTTTGAAGAAATTCGTATCCACAAAATCGATGAATAATCCAGTCAAGTCCCTGTTTTTTGTCTCGCAGAATTCAACGAAACCCGTCATACATTTCCATAAAAGAAGTTTATAATTTTCAACATCGGTTTTGTCATCATTATAATTCATTTCAGCTGCAACTGCTGTGACAACGTCGCAATCATATGTATTCTGATACTGAATAATTTGCGTTGCATTTACAGAATTTAATTCGGCAAGGAAAATTGGCCAAAACTGAGCACACTCCTTGTTAGCGTATGTTGCAATTATTTTACTGACAGGATCCCAGAGCAGTGAGAAATTGATGTATAAGTTTCCTAACAAGTAGTACAAGGGAAATTCATAAAAGCTTGGATTTAAATTGCTTACTGCATGACTTTGAAATGCAAGAGCTTGCACGTGTAATAGTCTATCTCGATAGGTGTGTACAGTGGCAAGTTCACTTTCAGCTAAATATGGAAGTTGTAATGCATTCTTTGCAGTAATTTCTGTGGAAATCATAAGACCATCAACATCATGAAACAATGAATACAGATGTGACACAGTAAGTCGAACTTTGCGAATCGGAGATCCTAATGAAGGTGCAAGATTTTTGTTCAAATCAATAAACATTGACTTGTTGATGATGTTGTCTCGATACTGTGATTTATGAATATGCGATAAGATTAAGTCTAGGCTATTTAAAATATTACTACTGCTTTTATACCTATGACACAGTTCAGTCAGTTTTACATCAGACTTTATGATGAAATCATAAAATGCATTTGGTTCTAAAATATGAATAGCAGTTTCCACTGCCAGTAGAAAGGCGAAGCTCAGTTTTCCAAATTCCTCTGATGCCGAATTATCATCAAAATCAAATAATTTTTGATTTATAGAAATGATGCCTTTTGATAATGTCTTATCGATTTCTTTTGGAAGTGGATTCAAATGAGGTAAAATTATCAGAGTTCTTAAGGCATTATCTGAGATATTAATTTCTTGTAATAATTCTACGTTGTTCTGAATGTAGTTTGCCGTTTCCATAGGAGCTGCACGAATATCCAATGGATACCTTTTCCACTTCTCCAAATTACCTCCACTGAGGGATGGTGCAGCTTTTTCAATAATTATCTTGGCTAATAACCGAAGTATTTGACCATTAAATCCTGTGTGAATATTGTGCTGCAATATATATGGCAGTACTAAAGTTTCAAAAGAAGAATAGGATATAAGTTGCTCAACCACTTTGTATAAGATATTAATGTCCTTGATAGATAATATCTTGAGGGCAAGATGACTCGAATTTTCTTGCATAAGCTTAATGTTCGATGCTAACAGAATTGCAGCAGATATATTACTTAGTTCTTCAAGAATTTCCTTATTCTCTCTGGCAAAATCGATCATCTGTACAATTTTCTTTATTACAGGAACTGGGTTCACCAACATCTTTCCACCTTTATGTTCGATAATTTGGTGTAAAAATTTTAATATGAGACACAAGTTTGTGTCTCTTTGTATTAGTTCCTCCGTAGTTGATTGTTTCTCTATAATCTGATCAATAATTCGCAAAAGCACGGTCCAAAGTATTTCACTTTTTTGAGGATGTATCGCATTTAATATACAATTTAGGATTTGCTCCAAAATATTGTACAGTACTGTTTTATTGACCGCAGTGTCTTGTAATGTTCCAAAATAAAGCATTAACATATGCTCAGCACAAGAATGAAACTGTCCAGGTGTCCCTGACACAACTTCAAACAGTAATTTGCTACATCCTGGTATATTGGCCTGCTGTTCCTCAAGAACTGTTAAGACCAATCTCAAAAATTCATCTTTATCTTTGACTTTTCTCACAACAAAGGCAAAACTTTCAGCAGCAAAGTTATTCATATATTCTGGTTGTGAATCTGCCAGTAACGGCAACAGGAGATCAAAGACAGTTCCCACATTTTTAATCAAATATCGCCATAAAAATTTAAACAAATATGCCAATGCTGTAAAAGTATACTCCAGCTGTTCTGTATCTTTGGTCTGTAGTAAATCAATTATAACAGCCAAGAATTCTGGGAAATATTCATAAAAATCCTTTTGAAGATCCCTTGCTAAGGCTACCACTAGCCTGTAATTAAAATAAACATAAGCATAAGTATGCAAATGTATTTATACATCTTGCGTATGTCTGTTGAATATTGTACTTACTCCAAAATTGGCTGAAGAAATAGCACATCCTTCATTCGCAAGTATTTTATAAGCGTGTCAATGACATGCTGCTTACTATTCAATAGCTGAGGTAGTGTGACAATATCTTTAACTTCTTTTTTAAAATAGCTGTACCTCTCAGTGAGGTTAAGAACATTCCACTTTTGAAGAGCTTGATAAAAATGCGTTTCTTTCTCATCATCGTTAATTTCATTGCGATGAGCTACGCGGTGAAAGACGTCTACATCAATATCAGCTATTCTTTCAGAAAATGGTTTAAACTAAAAAGTAACATATAAAATAAGTTTCACTTAGGGTTATGATATCAGGCAAATTGTCAAAGACAGGTTTATTACCTTAAAAGAATTTGTTTCTTTGTGACGTGTTGGTTTGTTCTTCATTTTGTTGTATATTAATTAAAAGCGTTAATAAATTCCCGCACTATATTTTCTTTTAACACTTGTCACATGTAGTATATTCAATTCTATTGACACCGACGACGCATAATGGATCACAAATCAGAACAACTGCAGTACCACGTGCAATGGTAAATTTAAATATGACCGTGAGTAATTTGACAACTAGAAAGTAAACTTGTTTTAGCGTAGGCTAAAACTACAGGAAAGACTTGAAGTAAAAGGCTAGTTTACAAGGGTAACATGACAAAGTTATGAAGGAACCATAATCCTCTAAATAATTTTATCTTCTATACTGTTCTCTACTACGATTACGGATGGCCGTTCATGACAGAAGTAGCTGATTGACATAGGAAGTGTAAACATTGTGCTATTGCGGATTGAAATAAGTATAAACATAAAAAGGAAGAAATACTGTGGAGCATAATTAACTGTATGAATATTTTTAAGTATTCAAACAATTTTATCGTTGAACAATTTATATAGCTTATTTTAATTTATTTTTGATGATTTTATATCATATGGCAATTCTCTGAATTATAAATTTGTTATTATAATAAAATATGTCAAACGCCGAGGAATCTAGTGGTAAAGTAGAGTTTAAGCGCAAAAATAGGAAGCCTATGAGAAAAAGATTGGCTTCTTCTGAAGACAGCGATAGCGAAAATGAAGATGTCTCTGTGAGGTATAAGACAATTTCTTAATATTTTTTTAATTATATTAACGCTCTTAACTATAAAATAATGTTCTTTGTTAAAGAAACAAAGTTGAAGAAATGAAAATTCTTCAAAAGCTTAGGCAACGACCACATGGTGTTAATATTGTTGGGTTAGCTCTGGGAGAAAATGTTGCTCCAGACGTTATGAATGTAGGTATTAACAAATTATAATTTTTAATTTTATTTGTGCTAAATATTTATTTCCATTTAGTCAGATCCGTTTAATGTGAAAAAAGGTGGGATGGTAAACATGGCTGCATTAAAAAACAATAAACTTAAACAAGACGATGCTTATGACACGGGTATTGGAACTCAATTTAATGCAGAAACTAATAAACGTGATGAAGACGAGGAAATGTAAGTATGCGCAATTAAAATGTATTTTTTAACATAATTAAATGGAACAATATTCAGGGTGAAATATATTGAAGAGCAGCTCTCAAAAAGAAAGAACAAAAGTAATGAAGAAAATGAACATAATACAAGTGGAGATAAAGGAACATATTGCTCACCTGAGGAAGCTGCGCTTCAGGCTGTGCCTGAACACTTGAGACAAAGTTCTGCACACAGAAGTGAGGAAATGCTTTCAAATCAGATGCTTTCTGGTATACCTGAGGTTGATCTTGGTATAGAGTAAGTTTTAAAAATTCCTTAGGTCTGAATTTTCTACATCTATTTTCATCATGTTCCAATATTCACTTTAGTGCTAAAATACGAAATATTGAGGCTACAGAAGAAGCAAAATTAAAACTACTTTGGGACAGACATAGAAAAAAAGATGGTCCTTCACAGTTTGTGCCCACAAATATGGCTGTGAACTTTGTACAACATAATCGATGTAAGTTCCTAAATTTTGTAAAAATATTGACAAAATGAAAAATATTAATTTCTTTATATGTTGGTAGTTAACATCGAAGACGCAGATGTTCAAAAGGGAAAACAAGATCTTGAAGAAAGAAAAAAAGCTGCATCTCTTAATGAAAATGTAAAAGGAAAACGTAAAGACAATGGAGAAAAAGCAACTGATGATTATCATTATGAAAGATTCAAGAAGCAGTTTAGGAGATTTTAAGATATTAAAAAAAATGTAAATTATAATCTGCTAATTGTAATTCAAATTGTAATAATAATTAATAATGAATCCCCACTATACAAGAAGTTATTCCTTTTTTTGTCATTACACATTCCATTTGAGTTCTATATTTATATATTATAGTAATTTTATAACCAAAATCAACAATTTAAGTATTGAAGAATGAAAAAATGTTATAATAAGCCGTGTTTGAATCAAATCTGATTTGAGCAGACTTAGTTTAGTACAGAAACGTACCGTCGCGTTATGTCGCGCACATGAAAATTGAACATGAAACATACATTCTCATCCAGTAAAAGTGTGTTGTCATTCGATTCGGCGTGACAAACGTTTACTAAGCTGTTAAAAAGACTTTATAACAATGGCTATGCTTAACGAATATTCGGGTAGAAATCTACCAGATTATGAATTTGAAGCTGTGAAAAAGGTGCACTTTAGTCCATATGCCGACAACGGAGGGTAAGATCGGAGTATAACCTGAAACTTCTAACAATTACAATGGCTTCACATCATTCTAAATATCACTGTTTTATACTTCACATATTTTCAGGAGTGTGATAGCTCTTGCTGGTGATGACTTTTGCATTATCGCAGGAGATACCCGTTTGAGTTCTGGATTCTCAATTTACACTCGAGAGCAGCAAAAGCTCTTTCCGCTTTCGAATACCACGGTTTTGGGTTGTTCTGGCTGTTGGTGTGATACTTTAACTCTCACTCGAATATTGTCAGCTCGTATGCAGGTATAATGATAAGAGAAATAGTAAATAATTTTGATTATACCAAGACAATGTATTTTAGATGTATAAACATGAACATCATAAAGAGATGTCAACGCCTGCTGCTGCACAGATGCTTTCTACAATGCTCTACTATAAAAGATTCTTCCCTTATTATGTGAGCAACATGCTGGCTGGTTTAGATGAGAATGGCAAGGGTTGTGTATACAGTTATGATCCTATTGGCCATTGTGAAAGATCTAATTACAGAGCAGGAGGTTCTGCAGGTGCTCTTCTTCAACCTTTACTGGATAATCAGGTACTACCAAAATTATGTGATATACTTGTAGCTTTTAGAATAAAAAAATGTTACTGTTTTCTGTACAAAAGTATTATCAAACATCAGTACATGACATTCAATATGTTATAACAGGTTGGTTATAAAAATCAAGAAGGTGTTGATCCAACTCCATTATCTCAAGAACGTGCCCTCTCTATTATTAAAGATGTATTCATCTCAGCAGCTGAGAGAGATATTTACACTGGTGATGGAATCAGTATCAAAATCATTACCAAGGATGGTGTAAAGAATGAAAGCTTTAGTCTGAGAAAGGATTAATTGTTCTAAATATTTCATAATGTAATATCGCATCCATTTACGAAAAAAAAATATAATACTTTACAATTGTGAATATTATAGTACTCCACACCTTATGACTAACCATACATATACATCAAAGCATTCTGAACATGAAATAAATCACAAAAATTAGAAGTAATAGTGTTGCCAGTCTGTAACAATGGGAAACATACAATCTAATACAGGCACTAATAGATTTAAAAGTATCATTTCATAAATTAATAGTATTTATTGCTAAACCATTTGGTGACTGGTAGCTGCAGCTATTGATTTACAATTACAGGTTTAATAACTGGTCATGTGCAGTTAATGCAAATAAACGTGTTTAAGATTAAATATTGAAATACGTAGTTATGAATATCTTAGAGTACTATGCATACAGAATGAATTCAATATTTAATCGCGATGTTCATCTAAAATATCTTGTATTTATTTCATATAAACACAAAAAGATAGCCTACTTTATAATACACCGTATCAAAATAACCAAAGGAAAAGAGGAAAGGGATCTGAGTTACACTTGATTCTACCATCTTTAAAGGTTGTTTCATGAGAATAGTAGAGAAGGGTAGAAAGTAGAGCTTTGATTCCCCCGAGATTCACTTCTTCGTCCCGGGGGGCAAGAGTGGTTGGCCACGATCCTTTCCACGCAGTTTAATACCCAATACTCGTTCAATTTTGCCAATCACCATTTGATTAGGGATACCCCTCCCAGCTTCATAATCATTAATGACCTGAGCTTTTTCATTGACTTTCTGCAGAATAATAAAAGAAACAAAAAGAAATATAGTAATAATAGACAATAATGTACAAAATACATTAATGTGAGATACCGTAGCAAGATCCTTCTGGGACATTCCTTTATTTTGTCGTCCCTGCTGGATAAGTTTACCAAGATCCAAAGGTACTTTATCGTGCTTTAATTCCTCAGTCTCTCGGTCCAATTTTGCTGTGTTTTTTGTGGTCACATGTTGCTTGTTCGCACCACCACCCCCTAGCAACAGAAATAAAAACGTGTACATATAATGTTACATGCCAATATTAGCTAATATTCATAATTATACACAGATAATCATAAAAGAAACATCCATAATTCTTTACTTACACTTGACTTGAGTTTCCACTGCAACACCCTGACGTCGAGCTGCATTGACGGCCTAAAGAAAAGATACTCCAATCAAGAACTGTGAAAATTTTTCAATACAAATGTTACCTTGCCAAACAATTACCTGTTCTGATTTCATAGCAGACCCCTTCGGCACTCGCTTACGCAAGGTAATCGGCACAGTATCCCAATCTGACATGATTGATATATTTGTCGAATGCGGTATATTATTTATTCTTAATCAAGTTAATAATATCGTGCGTTTTAGTTTATAACCAATACAAGGTGTTCCAGTAATTTCTCTGTAATATGCTTCGAAATTCCACTATTGGTAGCTGCGCAGAGCGAAATCGACCCAAACTTGGAAATTGTCCAGATATCCCAGCTACGAATGTTCAACGTGGAAAGTAATGTCCTTCTCTAGCCAGCGGGTGGCGCCTTTGATCAATTTTCAACATCATTTTCAAGCGAGTCTTATCTCTTATTTTTTTTAAATATACAATCAGTACTTACACACAAGGAGGCGATCATATATTTTTACTTTTTGACAGTTTTCAAAAAAAGATTGCGAATGTATCAGGGAAATTTGTCTTTTCGCACTCCATATCTCACAATTTTAGACTTCTTATCTATCTTCAAAACTAATAATATTATCACAACCCGTTAAAGATCTTCATATTCCATAATTTTGTGCAATGGCATAAGTATTTATAATACTGAAATTGTTGTTGTAACCTCGCTAATCGTGAATGTCGGCTCATCGTTTTTACAGTATGTAATCATATTGTCTTTTCAATCCTAATATTGTTTCCTTAGTAGATAAAACTCTAGAGTTTATACATCGAGATTCTTGCAGCTTGTTATATACAAGGTACCAAGGATGTGGAAAAGTTCGAAGATCTATTGTGAAAAGATTGCGAAAATAAAAATTAGTTCTTGGTGGAATTTTCCACGAGAGTTTAGATGTACAGCTGTGAAGCATACAGATAAATTTTCTGAAAATGAATGTGCAATACTTCCAAAAGAAACTCAGGTTGTCATATGTGGTGGAGGTGTTATGGGTGCAGCTGTAGCATATCATCTTTCAATGATGGGTCTAGGATCACAAACAATATTAGTTGAAAGTGGCAGGTACATTGTGAAATTTTTTATCATTTAGAATTATCAACCTAATTCATCTCAATGTTTAGAGTGGGAGAAGGGACAACATGGCATTCATCTGGTCTAGTCGGAGCTTTTAAACCAAGCCTGGCTCAAGTAAAGTTAGCTCAAGATAGTATTTCTTTATACCAAGAATTAACAAGAAAAGGTTTACCCACAGGATGGAAACAATGTGGAAGTTTGAACTTAGCACGTACCAGAGATCGCATGACCTCATTTCGAAGAATGAAAGCTCAATCTGTGTAAACTTTTTTTTTTAGTTTAATTGTGTGAATCATTTATTGTATTAGATATCAATGTTGTAAATTTTACAGATCATGGAATATTGAATGTGAATTGGTATCTCCAGAAGAAGCACAAGCATTATGTCCTATGATACAAGTTAATGATGTTATAGGAGGTTTGTGGATCCCAGGAGATGGTGTAGGGGATCCTTATCAAACATGTTTATCATTAATTGCTGAAGCCAAAGACAGGGGTAAATTTGCTATCAATAGAAATTCATATTTCAAATTAAATACTTTGTACAAAATCCATCTTTCCTATTCATAGGTGTGCATATTTATGAGAATTGTAAAATCACTAGGATATTAAACGAAGAAGGTCGTGTCGTAGCAGTGGAGACTACACAAGGAACAGTAGAATGTCAACACTTTGTCAATTGTGCCGGATTCTGGGCGCGCAATGTTGGAAAATTGAGTGAACCTCATGTAAAAGTTAGTATTTCATTTCAAAAGCCTCTATAGAAGTAAACCACATCAGACTCCTAAATGTATTGAATCTAGGTACCATTACATGCTGTAGAACATTACTATCTCCATACAAAACCATTAGCTGGTTTAGATCCTATGACTCCTGTAGTTCGCGATCTGGATGGCTACGTTTATTTTCGTGAGAATAAAGGTCGTATTTTAGCTGGAGGCTTTGAACCAGTTGCCAAGCCTGCTTATGAAGATGGTATAATTCCTGGTGAGATATATGATAATTGAAAAATTTATTCAGTTCAACATGAAATACTATTCGTTTTAGAGAGTACAAGTGAGAGATTTTTGCCTGAGGATTGGGATCATTTTCATATATTACTTGAACAAATGCTGCACAGAATACCAAGCTTAGGTAATACAATTTTAGAAAGATTGTGCAATGGACCTGAGGCATTTTCTCCAGATTGCAAATGGATTGTAGGAGAAGCTCCTGAAATTCGAAATTACTACATTGCTGCTGGAATGAAAACAGTAAGTTCCTGGCCTACAAACTCCCTTGATGTAAACTTTGCCTACACGAATCCGTTTGCAGGTAGGAATATCAGCAGCTGGTGGAGTCGGACGAGCAACAGCAGAATTAATAACAAGCGGTTCCACGTCTCTTGATATGTATGAACTGGACGTGTCTCGTTTTCTTGGACTGCACAATAATCGTAAATTCTTAAGAGATCGTGTGAAGGAAGTTCCTGGTATGCATTACGCTTTGCAATATCCCAACCATGAGTTTAAAACTGGTAGAAATTTAAGGATGTCACCAATCTACCCAAAATTGCGAGAAGCTGGAGCTGTCTTTGGTCAGGTAATGGGATACGAGAGGCCATCCTGGTTTCAACCTGACGAAGAACATGGTATTATACATTATTATCCACGATATTATCGTTAATTACGATTATCTTATTAGACCTATCTATTTATATTTAGAATTAGATCCGCTTGACGGATCACAGCGATACAAAATTGCGTATACAAATACTTTTGGAAAACCGCCATGGTTCGACTGCGTGGCAAAAGAATATGCGGCCTGTAGAGAAACCATTGGACTCAGTGATTATTCTTCATTTACTAAAATTGATCTATGGGTACGTATCATAATATTTTCGTACTAAATACATTTAAAGGAGATCCAAAGAACTAATTGCTCCTTGAATTATTCCAGTCAAACGGTACGGAAATTGTAGACCTGTTACAATATTTATGTTCAAATGATGTTGACGTGCCAGTAGGAAGCATAATTCATACCGGTATGCAAAATCGTCGTGGCGGTTATGAAAATGACTGCAGTTTAGCCAGAATTGCACCAAATCAGTAAGCGCATAGAAAACAATTAGCCCATCCCAACAGTAATATAAAATTCTATTATATTACAGCTACATGATGATTGCCCCTACGATTCAACAAACTCGTTGTAAACATTGGATCAGCCGACATTTACCAGCTGATGGTTCTGTTGCTGTGTCTGATGTAACATCGGCATATACGGCTATATGTATAATGGGCCCTGCCACACGTCAATTATTATCAGAACTGACTGACACAGACTTGAACCCAAAGAATTTTCCATTTTTCACGTTCAAGGTATTTCAGAATTATATACAGTAGCTTTTTATCTTTTAAACCTTTAGTAAAAATACTGTACAAAAGACATGCTTTATTTTTATCAGGAGCTAGACGTTGGCTTAGCTAATGGAATCCGTACAATGAATTTAACCCATACGGGAGAACTCGGTTATGTTCTCTACATACCAAACGAGGTATACTAAAAAATGAGTTTATTTCTACGTATTTTTGAGACCCACTTCCATTGACGACTATCTCATATTCTCCTCCTAGTCAGATAACTTATTCGACATAGAATCCACTGGCTCTCATGATGTTCCACAAGCAACCTGCACTAATACCATTCCTGATACTAACCTGTGGTAATTATATTCCTTTTCCAATGGGACCTCAAATACGGGACTAGATGTACCATGAAGATTTATCAAAGGAAAGCTATCACGGTTTATTTTCTTTGTCATTTAGTTTGCTTTGCACGTCTATACCAGGCTAATAGATGCTGGAGCTAAATACGGAATAAGTCATTCTGGTTATTATGCCACAAGAGCGTTGCGTGTTGAGAAATTCTATGCTTTCTGGGGTCAGGATTTGGATACGTTCACTACACCCTTAGAATGCGGTAGATCCTGGCGAGTAAAATTTGATGTAAGTTTCAAAATGTAATCCAGTCATCAGTCAGCAAAATATTAACAAAAATATATCATTTTTCAGAAAGATATAGATTTTATTGGGCGAGATGCTCTTCTAAAGCAACGCGAGGAAGGCGTAAAACGGAAATACGTCCAATTGCTGTTAAATGATCATGATTTGGAATTTGATACGTGGTGCTGGGGTGGTGAGCCTATTTATCGTGATGGGAAATATTGCGGTATGACTACGACAACCGGTTATGGATTCACATTCAAGAAGCAGGTTAGTCAGAATGTTGTTTTAATGTAATCCAAATTATGATAGCAACCAATTTCATATAAATGTAATCTTTTTTTTATGGGATCAAAGGTCTGCCTTGGGTTTGTACAAAACCTCGATTCTGAGGGAAAACCACAGGAAGTAACAAATGAATACGTTTTATCTGGGGATTATGAAGTGGATGTCGCGGGTATAAAGTTTCACGCAAAATGTCATTTGCACAGTCCCAATCTCCCGACAAAGTTCCCCGACGTAGAGCGGGACGCTTATCACGCGACACGAGATCAACAGACATCATAATGATTGCTCATGTGCTTCCAGTTGTGTACAAACGATGTATATAGAAACATTTAATAAATTATTTAATAAATGCCATTCGTATATTACTACATCACTCTTCGAAAAATCTTCGAATTACGTAAACTTACTCAAGTGTTTGTCTATATATTTGTTGTCGCTTGTCCATCGCTATAAGTTTTTGCGATTTTATGTATACATAATACGTAAGATTAATCAGGGCTTTGGATGATGCTCGTTACATTTGGAAAGAGCTGTGACACTTGACGATTGTCGTCATTTTATAACGTGTATTACGGCGACTCTTATAAAAATACGTCTAATTTATATTATCACGAACGTCACTGTTATCCAAATGTATCGCACACTATCTAATACATACATGAGAATTCCTATGTTTACTTACAGATAACGCTATGAGTAATTTAGCTACGATAATTCACTTTTGCATTTATTATCGATACATTATATACTAATTCAATCGAAAAATAAAAAAAAAAAGAAATTGAAGTCTTTTCTTTGCGCAAATCACTGAACACCATTGTTGCGCCTTTGTATTAATTTTATAACATTTGTTTTTTTATTATAGATACTTTAAATGCTAATCGAAAGTACATGAAAAGAAAAATGAATGGGGCTTTTCCTTGCATATTTTTTTACGTAACATCATTTTCACTCGAATATACTTTTTTCGGCCATGATCAACGTCAAAATTATGATTTGCACTGTAATACCTATGATATAAGACACAGTAATAATATATCCATTTACAAATACATAATTCAAAAGACACGATTCATGTGGCTGAATGTTCGTCGCTCGCTTTACCATTTACGGCGACGATTTTATTAAAATATTAACATTGCAATTGCATCATTTATATGCTATTTCAATCGTTACACTTATTATTCGATTATTCCATATTTATCCACCAAAAAAAGAAAAAAAAGTATAGAGGAGTATGTAAAGCCCAAGGTATAGTACATATATTCGTAGATTAACAACTTTTTACACGCGATTCGTATTCACGAATTTACTGTACACAAAATTGATAATGAAAAATAAAACCTTTTATCACTCTGGGATCTCCGGTTCCGGAGTGGGTTGAACTTGTTTTTGGACCATGCACGAACGAGCTACGGACTCGAACAGCCTGTAACAATAAGTGACAAAAAAAAGCATAAGACACTGCAACCGCTACACATTGTATTAAAGTATAAATGTTATATATGATTAGAGAACTCACTTTTCAATCTCTGGTGCACAGTGGACAAACTCGTGCGTCCAGAATTTGTACGTGGGGTTCTTGATGAGCTCGATAAATGTAATAAGAAGTCCCCATGGATGAGGGCGGTTAACGATCAGCCTTTCCAGTAGCACTCTCGTGATTTGTTCTTGAATAGCTTCAGTATTGGCTTCAGCGAACAAATACAATAAAGTACAACTGAAGTAATGCGTATGACTGTTTGGATATCTAAGCTGATTCGCAATAGCATTAAGAAACAAGTAACGGCCTTCGGTATCAAGATCAACAGCCAGATTTTGGAAAATGTCCATGTGCGCAGAATGAGCAATGGTCGACATATTTGGTGTATGCCCTTTGCTTCGAATAAAGGCAATGGCCTGCGTGCCAACGTAGAGCACTAAAGCGTTCATCAATTGGATATTATAACGCATACCAGCTTCCTGGGAAACTTGAAGATTGCTACGCAATTCCGATAGGAACGTAACTGGAGCACGAGCCTTTAGATATGAATCCAATTCCTTCTTGAAATTTGATGGCTGAATCATCGATGCAAAGTTCGTAAGTACCCTAGGTGCATGAGCGATCTCCTGGAGCATGTCGACTTTAAGGTTGGGCGTGAATGGATCCGGCAGACGCATGTTTCTTGGGAACGCACTGAGAATGAGGTTCCTCATCTGTATGCAGTTTGGTGGTATTACGTCGCAGAATCCATAATGATAGTCGCACAAGAATTCCGGAAAGTCGTGTAACAGCACAAGGAGTACTCTTAGCGTGCCTTTGTACAAGAGTGACACTGGTTTGGCCAATTCGGCATTGCGCAGGTAAGGCGCGAGGTACTTGAAGAGATCAATGAGAAGTTGCGCGTACATTCCCCAGCACTTCTGTTGTGGTGTGATGGCGAGCATGCGACCGATGAATACACGATGGGAAACAAGTTCCAGCCAGGCGTAACAGAATCCGGATGCCTTCGCTGGTCGCAGAATATGCAGGGTGTGGCAGAAGGCAGTCAAAACTTGATAGTTAACGGCTTCGAGAACAGGTTCAGGAGCACATAATTCAAGGAAGAGCATGATGAAAATTCTGTGATAAGGTAACTGTTGGAAGTCTGTTCCGCGCATCTCGTGATCTTGAAGTAGAACACCGGCCACAATGCCCAAGACTTTGTTCAACAGATTAATCTTAGTGTGGGTGTTAGTCGTGTCACCGGAATGTTTCACGAGAAGGGCGACAAGGCGCACGAAAGCGTCCAAGGTGTGAAAACATTTGGCACGAACAACTGATGGAGCTGCGTTAGCTTCTGCTAAAGCTCTGTAGCACAAATCAACACACATTTGCGTGCTCAGCTTGAAGAAGCGAGTAATGAGATCGTCTGTCTTTAGGATGCCGTGGATGTTCATTTGGTGGACAAACATGCCGAATGCCTTTGTCGGATCTCGAGCATGAGTGGGACTGTGATGCATAGACACCCATTCACGTAACAAATATTCGGTCTTCTCCATGAGTCCCGGTGGGTCGTCGAAGTCACGGGCCTGATGATCAGAAGTAATGAACTACATAACTGATAGTTTTCATATCCTAGATATAATAATTAATGTCATATGATATATACTTACTCGCACTTGGAGAATTCCAGAGTGAATATGAGCAGTAGGACCAGCTGGTGCACGATCCGCTAATACGGCCGGATCGTGGTTAGCACGTAAGGACTCAATCAGGCTAGTGAGTCGGAATAATGAGATGCTGTAAGAAGATTTTTGTGCAATGAAAGAGTCGAGAAAGGCTGATGTAGCTCAAAAAAAAAAGTAATTATGAATATACAATGATTTTCACATAATAGTTCGGGTGATCGTAATAAGCTAAATACCCGATGAAGCTTCTTAACTTTGTTACATAATTACCTTAAAATCAACTGCTGTCTACGACAGAAAGTAAGCAACAGTTCGATCAATGGTTAACGAAATATTTGGGCTCATAATCATGCCGATTGAGATGAGAAATAAATAAAAACACCGTTAGACTCAACACTAACCAATTAATACTCACCCTTCTGGAGGAGAACGAAGGTGAGCCATCCTAGCGAGAATCTCAATTGTATGGAAGAGATCAGATTCTGTAACATGCGTTGTTTGTCTTTCATCTATCAGGTAAAGTTGGACGAGTTGCATCGCAAAAGCTGTAGCCATTGCATTGCCAGCATCCATAGCCTGAGCCAGCGCTAAATCATATTGCGGTAGACTCAACAAGTGTGATCTGCAAATTGAGAAAAAAAATGTATCCGTTATGCTTCCATGCAATGTTACGCAAAAAAGACAAAGATAAAGACCTAATGAGACAATCCACCGCTTCAAAGTTGTATCGAAACTCTTCCCTGCATTCAGTCAAACAACGAGTAACGTGTTTGTTGGTCCATTGCATGCCATAAGCACGAGGATCTTGAAGACACTTTAAGATTCGCAGATGAAGCTCACGATATCTCAGCAATACCTCAGAGTCTATTACACCGCTTGAAATAGTAGGACCATCTAGTAATCCTTCCACAGCCTTTTTCAGTAAAGCCATAGCAGCACCAGCATCCCTGGACCGTCTTGTTAGAATGATTGAATCTAAGAGATTATGTAGAGCAGCATGTTGTGGAGGTGGTGCAGCAGGACCCATCGCAGCCTCTCGTAATAAAAGTTCAACTTCGGTTGCAAGTTTCTCTAACATTGCACCGACTTCATCATTGCTAACAGCTGCTGCATACGCAGCAACTTGTTGAGCTGTTGCAACGGCGACTGTAGGATTTGCTGTGAAGGCGGTAACAGCTGGTTCCTGTAGAATATATAAAATAGTACGATAATCAAAAATATGAAGAATCATACAGGTGTCATTAAATAAATAGTACTTACACTAATTGGTTTTGGCATGAAGAGTGCTTGAGTATCACGTTCTGACAGTGGCAAAAATCCAGGAATATTCCTTGCAAATTCTTCGTACACTGCCATTTGTTGAGGCGTGACACCACCTACTTTTAATCTAATTTGTTCAGGCATCCTCTCCGCCTGGTACTTGGCCAGAGGATCACAATATCGTCTTCCCTCCTGGCGTGCAATTTTCCGCAATTCTATTTCGTTAAGTAATCGCTTATCCATTTCAGGTATTGCTTTTTCAATGGCAGTTTTTTGTACAAAGGCGCATGCCAGTTCCATGTTATCTGCAGCTACAACAGTTGCTGCTTGTTCTATAAGTTCTTTCTGCTGGGGAGTCGTTCCAATCATAGCCGCTCCAAAAGCTTGCTTTAAGTTAGTGCTGATCGAAGCTAGAATCTATGATAATAATAAAATACGATTAACCCAGGTAGTTCAATATAAAGATTATTACTTTCAATGACAAACCTGATCATGGTTTACCTGATCACGGCATGTAATCATGGCCATGCCAGCAGTAAGATTCCGAACCATATGTCGTGCTGCTGTTCGCATCCTGACCTCCTCAGGATCCAGGGCAAAGTCTTTTCTTACGATTTGTTCACTAGTTGTTAGGGCTATCTTAATGGAACGATCCACTACGGGATGAATCCATTCCTGGATTGCTCTTTCCACAGCTAGGCGAATAAATTGCTTGAGATGTGGATGAGTTTGGAATAGAGGTAACTGAAAGCAAGAAATGGATAGTTAAGAAAACAGATATGAATTTCCCACAAGTCTTTATAACTTAATGAAAGCTTCCTTACTTGGTTGTTGACTGTAATATGCTGAGAAATATTGGCAATTCCAGTAACAGATATATCCATGTAATTGAAACGTGGTTCAGGTGGGCCTGTTGGCAAAGAAGGTGTTGTGTTTGCAGGAGGCGCTGGCTGGGGTACCATTGGTCCAGCCGCTGTAGGCCCAACTAGCTCCTCCATAGGACCCTGCGTTTGCGGAGGATTATTCACGGGCTCTGATTTCTTATTAGGATGTGACAATTGATATTCCAGATTACGTAGTTTTTCAGGATCTTTCAAGTAAATAGCTGGTTTCAGTTCCTATTTTGACAAAAATCATATGTAGAGCGACTGTGATCTTTTAAAATTATTGTATACGTGTTAAACTTACGGCTACGTCGATATTAAGATTTTTGCAGAGAACTTCGATTTCGAACTTCAAATTTAGTTTGAGATCAGGTTCTTGATGAAGTTCAGCTAGTACATTCATAATAGCCATTGTCCAAGGATTTGGTGGTCTAAAAACTCGACTTTTTGCACAGCTCTCTAATACTTTGGCAACGAACGGCACAACATAAAGCAGTTCCTGCTGTCCTTTATGATAAGCTTCCACAAGTAAGCTCTTCAAGTCTATATCGATCTGGAACATTATTTTTGTTATGGGGTCAAACATAAATAATTTGAAGAAATCAAATTAGTTACAATACCTGTAAAATTGGTTTATTCCTGCCAAGCGTAAGCATTCCCAACCAATGTCCAAGATTTTTTAAAAGCGATCGGTCAGAGAAATTAGCAATTCCTTTATCACTTCTCAACAACACCTAAAAAATGTTAATGATTAATCATTAATTTGATTTAAAACGAAGAAAATAATTAGACAAGATTCGATTATTCCATATTACACAATATACCTTGATATTCCTAAATGTCTCTCTGGTCACCATTTTGTTAACTTCCGGCAACTTGAGACAATCTAGGAAGTTTGAATAGAGAACGTGAAAGTTCAGTTCTATACTGGCACGTTTCATTACTAAATACTGGGCCATCCACGGCCAATATTCCTCGGTCACGATTTCACGTATCTCATCACATTTCTGTTGTAAATTAAGTTGACTGAGGTTATTGAAGATAAAGGCTGTCTTGTCCTGGAGGGCTTCTGGTGGCGACGTAATCTTTTCCTCCTTGTCCGTCGCCACGAGTAATGTGTCAATATTAGTAGCATTTGCAATTGATGGCTAAAAACAAAAAGCGGTATTCATAATGGTGTACCAGTGCAATATTGCAAATATTAACAGTGTCTCATTGCGAAAAATTCATATACTTACTCTGCCAGGAAGAGACGTGGTAGGAGTCGTAGATGGTTTGGCTTGCGTGGTACTAGTAGTTATTGTCGTTGTCGTAATCGTCTTATAAGGAGTGGTAACTGGTGCGAGCATGGCTGCTAGCGTTTTTGGAAGAACAGGACCCTGAGGTCTTGAAGGAGGCTCCTGCCCCTGCAGCCCATATTCAATGTACTCAATCAAATGTGGTGGGAATTCACTGAAGTGTTGAATCGTTCTAACGTGTTCGCAATAAGTTTGATATTCTTTCAGTCGACTTTTGAATCGATCCAACGCTGCGATTCCAAAGTAATACATCTTACTACCTTCTGGTTTTCTCAATGCATCAAGAACAAATCTTAATGCTAGTCCAAGCGTCACATAACTATTAACCAAACCTCTCTCGATAATACCACCAAATAGTTGTGCTGTGATATGAAGCTCCTTGTCCGGATATTGAGGAAAAAATCGATACTCTTCAAAGAGATTGCGAAGCATACAGTTGAAAACTTCTCGTTCTCTTTTGTTGCCGGAGTCTTGAAACTTCTTCAGCATGTCGAGAACTTCGTCTATTGATAAAGTCGGATGTGGTGGATGATTGTATATTCGTTGAAAGTAACTGTTGGCTTCATCCTCTATTTCTTTAGACACATTCTGGGCCATTTCAGGAAATAAGTTGGACGTTTCCGGTAGCCGTGCCTTTTCAATGCCTGTTGGAGGACCGAGACGTCCCAGACCTCCTATTGCACTGCCTCCTGGTACGACCGATGGACCTTGTGTACCAACTGGACCAGAGTGTAATTGCGAAGATAGAGGTAACATAGGAAATGGACTAGGTGATGGTCCCATTAATCTTGATGGTGATCCTGGCGCTGAGACTAGAGGACCTAAGGCTCCTGGTAGATTGAACGCAGAACTACTGGGTGGGCCAAGACTTGAGCCAAGACCCATTGAAGCTAAACTTGAACTTAAGTTGCCAAGCGGATCCACTTGTTTTGAAGAAAATAACTAGAATTAAGAGGTTCATCTTAGTTAGAATATTTTTTTAACAAGTATATTTAATTCTACGAAAATTAGCTTCGTAGAACATCTTGTAACTAACTACATTAATACCTGTCCCCCTAACGTTGCTGGGTTAAACGGTTCAAGTCCACGATGTCTTAACACTCCTGGTGGCGGAGGTCTGGTCATACTAGCTTTACTCAGCATTAAACTACAATTTTGCACCATGGTCATAATTGCTTCAGAACATTCCTGAGAAACGCTTCTATAAGGGAAAATAAGAGATTCCATTAACTTATCGCCGTGCATAAATTGTAATAGATAAAACAATGTCGGTAAAAATATTAACATACCCAGCGCATACTTGTAGGCAAGCAAGGATGGTCGTTAATGTTTCCTGGGGTAATTGACTGGCTTTGGGAACGGTAGGATCTTCCTTCATACCGGGTCCCATAACTTGAGGACATCGCCGTTGTAAAAACTTTACGCAGGCAGCCACAAACACTTCTCCATGATCGCGGATTTTATCAGTAAGCCACTTTTCAAGCTTTAAATATTCTCGTCGCGAAGCCAAGCAAGCTAGGTCGATGACGAACGGAAAGGACTGTGCATTAAGTAATGCGGACAAGGCTTTGAGATCCTGAGCAACATCTAGGATGCGAGAAAGTCTTGTCTGATCGTGATCACCGCGTAAATACCACTCAGCCATGGCGTGCATTATGATGGACTTAATCTTTAAATTATTAGCATGCCAGGCATGATGAAGGATAACTGCAGAGTTGGGATGATTTCCAAGGAAGATGGGCATCAGAGTGCTGAGTAATTCTTGTCTAAGTATTGTAATTGGTGGATTGATTTGTAGTAACGCTAATACAAGAACATCCGGGCAGTGTTGAATGGGCCACTTGAATATTTCTTGTACAGGTCCATAAAGTCCTCGTTCCGCCATATGTAAAAGTAATTCGACTACATTTAACGATCTCCAGGTTTGGGCCTCTTTACTATCTCCTTCTGGAGCTGCCTTGAGCACATCGACCGTGACAGAATGGTAAGGATAATCCGCGAAACAGAATATATCCGGGTTCTTAAGAACTTGCTGCACTAAAGAAAATTGACCTTCCACATTGTCCCAATGACGATAAAATAGTTCGACAGGAAACATATCCAACGGATATCCTTGATGTTGTAGTCCTAGTCGTAAACCTGTGATCAAGAGATTCAATCCTTGTCTGTCCTTGAGGATGAATTCTGTGTGGTCTAGCTTTAAGATGACTTCGTTCCATGACAAAGTAGATTGCTTTAAAAAAAATAAACGTCATGTTATAGGTTATGATTGCGTGTGCCATGTAATAATAGAGACTTGTGTAGAATCTTACAATCTCTTTAAGGGTTTGAACAAAAACTTCGACGTTCCACGTAGATGGTGTACTGCCATCCGAAGTTTTCTCTTTGCCTGTGTCCTGAGAAGTTGCTGAGTTTCCCCAAAAGGATTGTAGACCTCCAGCATCTTCGAGGCCGCTGCAACTACGGGCCATATGCGCCAGTACTCTGGCAGTACATATTGGGGAAATCTCCCTGGCACCAAGTCCTGCTAATGCCGCGCGACATTCTTCTACGTTGGTGGTGAATCCATATCCAAGTTCCATAATCAATTCTACTAGAGAACTGCCATCCTAGGAAGCAAACATTTATTTTGCTTAGTTGATCTTGAGAATTAAATTGAAGGTGACTTACCATTGGGTTGGCAGCCATGTTTAACTCGATAGTGGCTTGTGGAGTTTCCCCGTCGCCTGGATACAAAAGTGGTGCTAGCACCACTGGTACCAGTTCACGGGGAAAGTCACGCCTTAAATTCTTGAGAAATTTTTCTTTTCCCTCAGACGAAAGACCAAATTGGTTAGGTTCGTGAAAGACCTCAGAGAGGATAAGGTACAAAACCTCAGGTGATGAGTCGTGCAGTCCCTCTTCGTGGTGTTTATTACTAATCTCAGAGTTGATATAATTTTTAATCAATCCAGGCAGCTGCTTCTGGATTTGCTCTAAAGCTAATGTCCGTATGTCCGCGTTCTCCGAGTGCAGCAAAGCAATCGCAAAGGCAACCTCCTGGACAAGCGTTAGGCCAAGGACCTTCCTCAGATGTGGAAAAAACTTTGAGGATGGATTTAAAGTCTGAAAGATAGAGTGAAAAATTCGACATACTTATGCATATCGAGAGAAAACCTCACTGCACAAGCATTCCAAAGGGATGTAGATCAAACCTTTTGCTGGTGAAGGGGATGATCTATGGCGTAACAGAGATTAGAGATCAACGAAGGCTTGCTAAGAAGATTGGTACACTCTTGCGCAAGTAGCTGCACCTGATAATAGTCCTTCGCGCTTGGCTCAGGTGGCTCTCCAGTTGAAAAGTCTACGTATGAGAACAAACAGCGCAGCAAGTGTCTGTCTGCCTCCAGACCCTTCCACTGCACCAACTATGACAGAAAGATGAGTCTAAACAGCTCCAAATAGAAGGATTTACCATACAAGACCTTACCCTATGCACTATAAAAGGAACATGCGCAGACAAGAGTACAACTGTACAGAAACATGGAAAAGCATAAAACTATTAAGTATTATGTGAGATAAAAAAATAAGTAAGCAAAGTATTTATTTCATCATGATAGATAGACCAGAATTTTTATCTCCCCAAAAGTTTTCTGTGAAAATACAAAGCCATCTGGAATATCTGCCGGAAGCGTCATTTCAAATAATACGTTAGAAAGTTTGCAAATTTTAAACATTAATACACGCGGCAATCCACCTGCCCGGACTTTAGCCGCTTGTGCTAACCAAACCCGTAAGATTTACGGTTATACATGGACGGCGCAAGTAGCAAACGTTTGCCGCAAATGTTTGCATATTCGCGGAAACGAGGCCACAGAAAGTCCAGCAAATGCTTAGCAAGCATATTGCGTTTTGCTTGCGAGGACGTCATGATAGCAGTTGCTTCAGAGAAGGGGGTACATTCAGAAAAGGACAGAAATAAAAAGAAGAGGCACAGTGAAACAGAAAAAGAGAGAGCTAAAAGAAGATAGAGTGAGAGGGCGCAAGAGGCAGGAGAATCACAAGCCTTTCTTCCTGATACTTACAACCGATATTTCCTGGGCACTCTCTCGAAAATTTTTCTTGTTTAAATTCGCAACCAAATAACTGATTTGTGACAAAGTAAAAGACAACGAGTCCAGGTTCATAGTTCCATGAATACGACCTCGAAAGCTTCAAACACGTTTGAAGCTTTCTTCGGTATCCACGAATTGCCTCCCCGGATTCTCTCCTCGTTAAAAGCATGAATACTACATTGGCACAGTCCTGCGACCAACATCGGGATCGATATTTTGAAATACTATTTCAGATCAACGTCATGGCGAGCACAACGGGATAAGACACTGGAAAACGTAACACTATTCGAAATTATTACACCGCACAACCAGTCCACACACCACTTGTCTCTTTCCTTCGATTATTTCGACTGATCTCGTCTATTCGCTGCTCTACATCACTTTTCTTCGATCGACCGCTAGAGTGCACTCTATGGACGCTTGGCGTCGAAATACGTGTCCAGAATTACTATGTAAAGCCAAATACACATGCTTTCCTGAAGTGTGAATAAGGCAAAACTATCGTGGCGCGTCTTCACAAGCCGTGCCTATAGGACCGCCATGAAAGTTAGGTTATCGTCTAACCCTATAGTTTTTTAGAAATAACAGATTGTGGACGCATCATATTATTTCTCGATTTTCGAGGCGCGAAACAAGCCAGCCACTCGGTGCGTCTAGTTACTTTAGTTAAATAACCGGGGATTTTCGCCGGTGAATCAGGGGGAAGTGTGCACAGCACTGGCTGTAGGTCGCATCGGGTACGGGGCGGCCAAGAATAGCAAAGAGCACGCGAATCTAGCCGTCGTGTGGCCGACAGAGCAGCAAAGAGTGACCGCTCCCTCCATAGCGTGAGAGTGATAAAGAGGGATTCCTAAACCTTCGAGATTTAACGAGGTGATATATTAAAAGGAGGTGGACGAATCGCCGCGTACGTCGCTCTTGTATATGGGGCCAGGAGACGGCCGAAAACCATTTCGCCGAGTTAAGTCGCGCAAGGTGAAGTGACCGTGTGAAGTGGTTATACGAAGTGTAAGAAGAGGAGGTAGTGGCGGTGGAGGAGGCCGAGGGTTCGGTAAGCGTGGAGGAGAGGCGACCCAGGGCGAAGTGGTTATAATAGTGACCGAGTGATCGGCTGAGAGTTTTGCGAACCAATGTCTATCGAGACTCGTTCGAGCTCGGCTCTCTTTAAGAGGGCCGAACAGCTCAAGCGATGGGAGCAATCCGAGACTAATCGGGAACCGGCCCAGCCGCGGCAAGTGGCACGCAAGATCAAGTTTTCGGCGGACTGCGTGTTTCTCGCGGCGTGTGCAGCGGGCGATAAGGATGAGGTCGTCCGCCTCTTGCAAAAGGGAGCGGACATTAATACAGGAAACGTCGACGGGCTCACAGCCCTGCATCAGGTAAATAATGGATATCGTCTACGATTAAACATCCACAAGAGTGCAATCCCTATCGTTCGGGTAGATTTGACGGATCCTGTTGGCTCTCCCGGACGTAGCACTGTATGCAAGATGGCCGCGGACTGCTCCAGCTGTCCCATTTCATTAAGAATACGGACAAATTTTCAATCACTCATTCTGTCATTAGATACGAATGGATACCCTCAGGCATTAGACGTCCGCAGGCCAAGATAGTATCACTCGTTCTATTTGGAAAATCGGACAAATTCCTCATTTTTCATGAGAGGTCGCCAGTGGCGGATTATCTCTCCCCTCTACCTTTTTCGAGATTGTTTACATGTGTTTACACGTCTGTGAATGTTCATGCAGCTGAGCCACACTCGGGCTTCTTCAATGTCTATTGCTAATCTTCAATATTACAGGATCTGAATCCACTCGTCTGCTGACATTCAAAGCTTCAATGAGTTACCGCTATTGTGGCTTGGATTGGAGCCACTTCAGAGTTTGAGTATTTGTAGTCAGCACTAATGCGAAATTACTTCTATTGAATCCAATTCTGTACAGTGTTCTGAACATGATTACTGTGCAAATTAACCCTCGGTTATTTGAGGCCTTAGACAAATTACGAGACCTGAATAATGAGTAAAATTCAACTTAATATTTCAAATGCTGTTGCTCCATTATGCTCGTTCATCGTGTGTCCTCGTCTAGTATTTCATTAATGGATGATGCAATTCCACATTCTCATGCTTTGATGCACAGTATAAAAGTATATCTATATATCTACAGCAAATTGCATTTTCAACATTGTTATCTTCCTTATCCACTTTCATGAATTGTCTTGTCCAGTAGTCTTTTAAAAACATTGAGTTTGGAATGATTCACTGTGAAAATTATCTCAAATCTAGATTAGTCACTCAGACAACATATTACACAGACAGTGTAGTGTATCTTCCAGATACTACAAATACGACAACGTTTTCAAGCGGATAAAAAAGATTACGTATGTTGATTCTAAGAAGTCTGAATTTCTGGCTATCTATGTTAATGCCATTCATGCGTGGTACGATAAGACTCTTGGATGGAAGACCTAGTGAAATACCTTTGTGCATTCTTGAGGGATTAATTTTAGCATGTACTATGATATACTTCCGTCATGAATGTATCTCAGGCACGTGTTGCTCCAGATATTCTCTCACGCCTCCAATACCGCTTTAGCATACCGTACCAGCCATTAAAAGTAATGATTAACGACGTAAAATACCATAAATGATGAAAGGATTCTTAGAATTACAAAAACAAAAAAGTTACTCCACTCAAAGATTAGATAGTAAAAATATTTTTAATATTTTGGCCCTACGTTATGTGCACATTTTTTGGCCTAACCGTCTACCGATAACCATTTGACCGTTCTTTACTATGTCGCAGCCGAACGTTAACATGAGCAAAGGCAGTCCGTCATTGCCGAGAGAGTATCGCACAAGAATTTCCAGTTGGCAGGGAAAACCGTGAAGAGTCGTTGAGGCGACAGTCGTCTCGGTGAGATCTGAGAGAACGAAAAGGAACTCTTACATAAATATCGAGCAGTGCACTACCTTGCCAACCAGTTAGTCAAAACGTCCGATTCGCATTTAAACTAGGAAGAGGCCGTAACAAGGCCGAGATACTTGAGATAGATAACTCCAGAATAGATAGAAATTGGGATAGAACCAAAAATAACTCATAAAAGACTCGAACCTCCTCAACGTCAGATAGCCCGGAGTACGTAGAACGCACAGTGCCACGATGCATTATAATTCAAGTCACAGAGTAAAAATGATATACTTCTTCTTGAAGATGTAAACGGTTACATTCCTCTTGGTAAATGTACCCTTTCACGTGGGAACGAGTACTGCACCGCAGGAAATTCTGGCACGATCTCTAGCGGCCGCGGATTTAGTCCCTCTGTCGGTCTCTCGGTCGCTCGATCTTCTCTAGCACCGGCTCAGCATGTTCATAAATAAATTCGTCGCCGAATGACCGTGGTGTTATATATAGAGTCCTGATGATCTCCTGCAAGCAAAGGTATAATACCATGTCGCTGACCCTAACATTTACCACTTTCTTCTTCTCAGATGCAAGCAGTAAAGTGAAATTGGACTCTACTCCGTGACTTTGATGATCCCATACGTCCCTTTAAGATAGCCATCTCGACGACTCATTCGCAAGGTCTTCCCATGATTTACCAAACGGCGTATTCAACGCGTTCCGCATGCAGTAAAATCGTTCGACGTCGTTCTTGTAGCTGTATGTTTAATGACCAAGGATAAAGATTTTTAATGCGCATGCATAAATTAATCGGGCTAGTAAACCTCGGTGCATTGACATCGTTGCACTTAGATACTACGTAGAGGAAGGCGTCATCTCTCTGATAGTGCTCCAAGGGGCACTGAGATATGCGCACCAAGTTTACTCTGCTCTTTGGCAGTGAGGACTGTGTACGGTCTGTGCCAATCCTCGATTCTTATTTCAGACTATCTTCCTTTCCATTCGCTCTAGAATCCCTACATCGAATCATCGCCAAGCCTGTTGCAGGTGCCTAGGTACAAGACTGGAGCAGGTCAGGCCCTAGGAGGGTAAAATCCTATTTCGGAGCAGTGACTAGCAGGACGTTGTGTAAAAAATGTTTCGTTTCCTATTAAAATTCTGGCACCCATCGATATTTCCAATAACAGTGTACTATTTTTTCTCGGCCCCATTCGGACGCGTAGGTTGCGTAGGCATTCGTGGATTTGCGAAAATAGATCGTGAAAATACATCACGCATCGGCCACTATTTATAGTTCTCTATTGGAAGTCACGGGTCGTGAATATGTGCGTTCCGTTTGTGTCTCAGGATCTTCGCTGGTGTGTTGTAACAGATGGTTTATTTTTTCGGCCAGACGGGCATGAGAAATGACTGCGTCAGGAATCTTATAGATGAGATAACAGATTATCCGAGAACATAGATTTCTCGATGGGATGATAACTTTTAACTCTCTTCGCCGAAACTGAGATATATTATTTTTTTTCAACAGCCCGTTGAAAAGAAACCACTTTACGACTTTCTTCCCGTATATTATCTACCAGACGAGGATATAGCATTGGAGGAGATATCCACTGAAACCATAAGTTTCATTGCAAAAGAATGATGCTTTTTTATCGTTAATCATTTTCGCATAATTGTCAAGTAATTTTATTAAAAATAAAATTAATTCTGTTTAACTGTATGATTTTTAAATGTAGGCATGCATCGACGACGATTTGGATATGGTGGAGTTCCTGGTGGAACAAGGAGCGGACATCAATCGTGGCGACAACGAAGGCTGGACGCCTCTTCACGCTACAGCATCCTGCGGATTCATATCGATCGCAAAGTTAGTTTTCATGGACGATAATCCATTATTCTCGATACTTCTTGTCTAAGGAATTTCGTATCCCAATACGAAGCTAATGCGTTTTACTGTTAGTACTGTGAACGATGACTTGCAGATACTTAATAGAGCAAGGATGCAATTTGGCAGCCGTCAACAACGACGGCGAGCTGGCCCTCGACATCGCGGAAAGCGACGAGATGGAGGATATGCTCCAACAACATATAAATAAAGCAGGTTTGTCCGTATGAGATATCAGCTTGTAGTAAGGAACTCCGAGTGAGCTCAGCTTGATTTCCACGTTTCTAAGTGAATTATGGTGTTATCATAGCTAAAGGGCGTTCTGCTTAAGATTCATGGTTTATTTTTAGGTATAGATTGCGATCAAGCCAGAAGCGAGGAGGAAAGGTCAATGTTGAATGATGCAAGAGCTTGGCGATCAGGAGTACCGGGCAAGGATAACGCTCATCCGAGGTCCGGGGCTACGGCTCTCCACGTCGCTGCTGCCAAGGGCTACCTCAAAGTCATGAAGTAAATCTACGTAACCGCCACTTTCATAAACGCTCGACACCTGTATATTTCGATTGCGCTTACAGAATCATTAACGATCTTTGGGGATGATATTTATTTTAAAAAATGAACATACCTTCTTGATTTTCAGCGTATTGCTGCAGGCACGCTGTGATGTTAATGTTCAGGATTTTGACGGCTGGACGCCTTTACACGGTGCAGCCCATTGGGGTCAACTGGAAGCCTGCAAACTCCTGGTGGAGAATTTCTGTGATATGGACATTAAGAATTATGCTGTAAGTATGGTAAAATGATCCTCGGCGCACTGTCACTCTTCACGGTGCGTGACTTTACGGCGTTTGATACTCCGTTAGGGCCAAACCGCTTTCGACGTGGCTGATGCCGACATTCTCAAAGCTCTTGAGGAGTTGAAGAAGAAGCAACAAGTCATGCTGAAGGATCATCCGCAAATCAATAACAAGAAACAACCGTCAATACCAAAGAAACGGTACGCTTATGTTTTCGCGTCGTACAGTACATTGTATTTAAAATATCATCAGCATTATTTTACATATTTCGGTCTGAAATTTTTCTACGTAATTCCTTAATTTCCAGTGTATCTACGAATAATGAAAATGCGGTTGTCACTCAAGAGGGTGTGGAAACGTTCGAAGAAGAAACCCCGAATAAGGTGAAGAAGGTTGAATTAGAAATTCAATCTGACAAGGAAGATTCGAGTGCAGCGACAAACAGTGATGTTGGTCAGTATTATTTTATCACATACTATAAATTATATCCATTGAACCCCTTACCCAAGCGAGTAGTCAGTTTTCAAATACTTTAATAATCATAGTGTCACGAGCTTGATATTGGTATTAGAGATTTAATAATCCTCGAAAAAATCCATTATCACGAGTGATCCAATCCCACCTGAAACTTGCTTCAACTTCCTATAACTACATAATTGGCGTTCCTTGTAACAATGCGGCATGGACAGAAGGCGGCGCTGAAACAGACATGGACGCCAGTGATGGTGAGGGTGATTCTGAGACTAGCTCAGATTCGCATACCTCAAGTCGTTCAGATCAATCTAATAAATCCAACCAATCGGACCACTCGGCATGTCTGACCGACGACGGTGAGTCCTCAGAGCGCAAGGTTCTTCGTTAGCAAACATAATTATTTTAATTCTCCATAACACGAGCATGCTGTACATAGCTCTGTTACTCGTTTATTTATGTCTTTCTTAACTGTCGCAACCATAGTGTCTCTGAAATAAAATTATCTTTACAGAAAAGAAGAATAGAGTGAATAGAGACGAAACAGCATCTCACAGTCCATCATCAACCATTGAAAGCAACAAAGTTCCTAATCAGGTAAAATTGAGGTTTGGCTTTCAATGCTAAATATTATTTAACTGAATAGCTAATAATTATCTTTTCCTTTTATCTTTACAGGCTCCGATATTGCCACCGAAACAACAGACTGAGAACAATGAAGATGGAAGTATACCATCATGGCGACGCTCGGGTTCGTTCAGAAGTAGAAATCAAGACACGGAGGCTACAAACTCCATAACTACGAGTAAAGACTATTTAATTATACAAGATCACCCTAAGAACAGTATATACTTTACAATTTATCATTAATACATATCTCTTTCCCAGGACTAGAGGACAAGGAAAAATCTGTTCCAAAGTCTCCAACCTCGCCGAATAAAATAAATGTGGACCAGGACGTTCCTCTGAGAAGAACCCATAGTTTTGAGACAGACGAGAAGTAAGTCTTATTCCAATACTCCTGTTTTTATTTCCCAATATAAAGTCTGGATTTAACTTCTTTTCGCTTCCTTCTGAGTAACTTATGCGTGTGGTTGTTTTTTAAAAACTGTTTTCTTAATTTTTTATTTTACTTTCATCCCTCGTGATCGCTAGTGCAATTAATTTTAACAACGCACTGCACAAGACCCATTCTCTCATTGGTACGATCCTCAAGTATTTTTCCGAGCTCTTGAAGGATCGTTCATGTAAACCGCCTTTTGCAAACGGCCAAGACTAGTACGAAAGATTAGTAAGTAGCGGTGTGCATGGCATGGTGCATGTTACGCAGGTTCTATGAGCAGTACTTGGCATTGCGAGCCCGCATCAAGGCGTCCTCCTGCCCTACTCTCCATCGCTGCAATCCAGCTACTCCCACTCATACCAACGCTACGACCACTCGTTCTGCGTCCCTACGCGAGACTCACAGGTACACGTGCGCATGTTTGACAATCGTATCTCAAAGTACACATACTATAGTTCGATTCTCGCAAAAAAAAAAATATTAATTTACACGTTCTTGCCTATCTTTAATATACTGCGTTACTGACAGTGCGGGCTTACATAATAAAGAAGTAGCTCCGTCTATTTGCTTTAAAATTATCATAGCTTGAACGCGATGCTGAAATCTGAACATACTCTGGCTTTAGTCCTTTTTGTGTTGTTGCTTTTTTTATTTTGTCAATTAATAGAATTTTTTTTATCCACTTATGGTCTTTTTGGGGCTGAGTGTTCAGCGAAAAATATTTAAATAAAATTTTGGGGTTAAGCTAAGTGATTTATAATGGCACTGATATTAATGATTTTTTTTTGTAATTACGTCACAGGAGAAAGGAGGTGAAGTTGAATTTAGAATTGTCAAGGGTGCCTCAAGGAAGCAATACATCTTCACCGACTTCGGTGTCTAATAAATTGCTGTCATCCCCTACACTACCAGCTAGTACTACCACTTCTACTGCCACAACGACTACTACTACGAGTCCTGTTTCAACCAATCAGATACGCAGGTATATTCTTCTACTGCAGTTTATGCACTCAGTACTTTCTCGTCAAACTTCAAATCTCACTGTCGCTTTTGGGACTGTTTATCAAAGTGCTAAGGCATCTCAGGATTTCTGATATTTCATAAAGTCCGCTGTGCATTTGTCTATTCGTTGTACTGTACGATGTAACGTTGTTTGGTATCACTGGGTAGCGTTCAGCCAGTGGAAACAACAGCAGCAGTTGTATCACCAGCAAACAATACCACGGGAACTCCTGTGACCCCGACCACACCGGGCGGGAGCAAGCTCAGTCCAGGAAATATCTTCAAGAATTTCTTCAAGTGCGTACCATCAACTTGGTCTGGCAGGAGCCCTTGAGTCGTGTGATTTTTGTCTGCCATAAGAGAGATTTTTTATTATCGTTATTTTACGCGTTGTGTATTTTTTTTGTTCACTTGCAGCTGCATGGACGTTCAGGCTTTGCGACTTATCTCCCTTCAGTTGCATTGTAGTCGGTCTGCGAACGAAATGTGTTTTCTTGACGGATTGAAAACAGTAAAATCCTTAGCAAGTCACACATGGCTTTCCATAAAATCACTGGAATATAGTTAAAAGAAAAAACAAATTATATTTCAATGAAAAACAATAAACATGTATACTTTGTAATACAAATTTTATGCAGAAGCACGTGTGGCTTGCTAGACATTTCATAGTTTTCGATCTGTCAAACTAACACTTTTTACTCGTTGACCGAGAGGCTACGTATATCCTGACGTTGTCCCATTATAAAATCTCACGTTGTATAAATACGCAAAGTCGAAAAAATTATCACAGGATGCCCAAGTTTTTTTGTTTCTCATGCATTTTTTATTTTGAATCTGAGACAACAAACTTGCTTCAGTTCCTCTGCGTCTAGGATTAACGGACCTGACGTCACCTTGGTTTGGTCTGGCAGGTTCCCTGATTTTTCACGAGCATCTCAATTGGCCAATGCATCCTTATCTGGGACTAACGTTTGACATTGTCATCTCGAGCTTGATGCTCGGGACCGTTTGCGTGCTTACAGATTATTTTCATGTCGATGCTTAAATGATATTTTGTACATACTACACATATTTCGGATGTGAATAATCATCTCGGTGTAACTTGATTGTACTAATATGCTTTGATATTTTTTTGCCCAGATCCTTCGTACCTCCAGTTCGTGACGAGGAGAGCGAAACGCAGAGGAAAGCCCATGCAAAGAGAGTACGAGAAACACGACGCTCCACTCAGGGCGTTACCCTGGATGAGATCAAGAGTGCGGAGCAACTGGTGAAGAAGAAACAGCAGCAAAACAATGAGACGACCACTGCCACTCCCGTGCCTTCGACACAGGTAGAATTTAATGTCCTTGAATTCACTAACAAGACTAGTAATACCGATGATTATACGTCTCGTTATCGGAGGGCTGAATTTCTTGACACGATAGAGGACTCTTCTCAGGATGAGTACGAGGATGCTCTTTCGCATTGTAGCAGTAGGGACGGGCATGACAGAGATTTACGAGATAACGATATGAATGAAGTACTGGAGACATTTGAGATAAATGCAGACAATGTTCGCGTTACGCTTGTGCCGTGGTTAAATGAAAACAACATGGAAATTTATCGTGTCAATACACAACACGCAGTGGAACGTCATTTTCAGTCTTCCAGTAATGATAACGCGAATGATAATCGAATAAGAACTCATGGAAATCATTCCTCTGCTGCTCGAAGTGCATCATTCAGTTTGAGAAACACTTTTATCTGTGATAACACTGAAACCAAATGTGTAACTAGTAACGGAACGAATAAGGCGAGGGCATCCAAAAATAATAAACCATATGTAATAGTTAATAGGCTGATACGTTTTATCGTAGCACTCGCAATACCGCATCTTGTTTTTGCGAGTCATTAGTCATTTGCAGGGATACGAATTTGACATGAGAATTTTTTCTTTTTCCTTTATCTTTATTTTCATTTTTCATTATACACATTTGTATTGTATCCAACGCGTCGTATGCGTTTTTGGCTTTCTGACACCACAAAGTATTTATAATATTCCTTGAATAACGTATATGAATTCTATTATATGTCTATGAAACGCGTTCATTAATCATTGACAATAATAGATACACGATAAAATATGCGTAAATGGTAAACACTCCTTTAGGCAAGACTGTTAAACTCTGTTCTATGTTAGGTCGTTATGCACAGTTTTCCTGTACTGCCAATATCTTCCATAATGCTTATACTCTTAATCTATATGAGGATAAACTGTGCGTATCGTGCTTTCGCTAAGATAGAAATACAACAATGCAAATCCAATATTAGAATTTCCTGTCAGGCGTTCCAAATCTCAATACTTGAATGTCATGAATTCTTTGAATTTTGGATTTACAAATTATCAGATCTATTAAACACATTCCAAAGGGAACAAAGATAGTATTGTCATAAATATCATTGCTCATACGATGAATCATTTATATGTTCTGTGGTCAGAGCTTATTCGTAAGCTTTGATAGAAACTTTGTATGAAGCTTTAACAAGCATATTCCATGTATTATAAGAGGAACTTAAGATGGTCAAATATACAGAGTAAAAACGAAAAATATATATGACAAGCTAACATTTGTGCAGTTTTTATTCTATTTTACACAACCTCGTAGAGCGTCCCTTGTCATCTACTATGGTTTACCACAATTTTGTGCACCTTTTGAGGTAATCCTCTTTGTTATGTCCAAATTACATCCTCTACGTGACATTTAATAGTAGTATCCCTCTGTCTGTTACTATTCACTATAATACTCTTAGCAGACTTTCAAATATGTAGTTAAAAAGTTAATGCACGTCATCCATAGGGATTTTAGAGAGGAGGAAAAGAATTTGATTAGTTTCGTGTATCAATTTAAGAAATATTTAGTATCGCATTGTAAATATCAATGGCCCATTGTTATGTCTATTTGCTTCTCGTGACGATTTTAAAAAAGCGTGGCATAACCCGAAGAACAGTTACCTGGTTGCGGTTTACGTCTGAGATTCTTAATTAATGGGTGCACTTGGATATTAATTAATTAAGAATAATATACTGTAATATCGAGTGTCTTAAATCGACAGGTAGATTCTGACAAAGCTTTATCTCATACGAGTCATCGTAACATGTCGAAAGCATTCTTGCCGCTATGGTGATTTATTACAAGATTGACCAAATCTTTGTATGTGTTTAATGAAATACGATTTAATTTTATATAAAATGGTCCTGGCCTCTGATCACCCTAGTGGCATGAAACTAATATATCTCGGGCCCTGTCCCATGATTCATTCATAATTTTTTTTTAAACAACCCAGCCCGCAGCTTCTGTCAGCAACACAGCCTCAATCACAGCTACGATAACAACAGCTACTCCTACCACCGTGACAGCAAACAAATCCTCCGAAGAAACTAACTTGCCTGAGAGACGGCCCTCTTGGAGGCTCAGGGTAGATAATGGAAGCAAGGTGTGTGGCTCTGATAATCTTCAAGTAGGCACAAGTACAGTTCGTCAGCGCGGCCGATTGTGCTCGTGGGTAATGCGTGCTTTCGGATGGAACTACCAGTAGGGAAAGCTGGATCGAATTAATCGCTTACTACTTTTATATGAATTTGTGTTATGAATTGCGTTTACTGCGGTACAATCGTGCTTGCGTGTTGGATAAAGATGCTTCTTCTTGTATTACTGTTATTATTGTGATTAGATATCTTCCTGAAATTGTCTTATCGTTAAATTCAATCCAGCTGCAAAGTATATAAAAGAATTTCAGTATTCCATAGGAGCAGTATTTTAACTCTTAAACTCCACGTCGCGGTCACGCACCTTTAAATTCCACATTGACAGGTGCATATTTGCACTAGTGTGGAGTTTAAGGGTTGGTAGACCTTGTCCAAATCGATCGACGTTGATGATACCTGATTTACATTATGTTTGCTCTGTAGGTTGTACGCGTAGCAATTTTTTTCTGTATTACTTTGTAGTATTGTTTTTATTCTTTAGTCTCGATTTCTGCTTTCTATCCAAAAGTCTACTTGGCTCGAATTTACTTTAATCTATTATTATCAATGCATCGGTGGCGTTGAATCCTATGCATGAAGTAGTTCGTGGGTAATGAGTTACTGTAGATGTAATAACTGTGTGTTCTGTTTGCTTTTATGCTTGAAAATCTATTAGGCACATGACACTAGTGCTGCACAGGTATTATTTTGTTATAGCAATCTATTACGAATGCATTAGTCAAACTTGGTATTTACAGGAACTCTATTAGATTCCAAGGAATAAGGATGTTTACATGGTTCTCTTATTATTTTATCCTTTCATAAGAATCTTTTATTTTATCGAGGTCACACTAAGTGGAGAGAACACGAAGCTGGAGGAAAGCGAAATTAATTTTGAATTAAATTCTCCGCCTATTGCGATCTCACATTTATTATTACCTTTTTTTCTTCTTTTTTTTCTAATCTCCATAACGAGTGTGCTAATTCACTTTTACTTTGTACACCTTTATTTTAGTGTTCTCTGTATCATTGGCATTGACTGCATGATAACCACTGTATACTTCATGGTTCTTGTGGTAATATTAAAGGAGATTTATTGAAATATTGCTTTCTTTTATTTTGCACCCGTAATTGACAATTCGTCATGGTTCACGTAGCTAGCACTCCGCGCACTGTTTTAAACTTAAATCACATTTATCAGTTCCAGCTAGAGGATGCAAATAATAGATCGGCCGACACTGCTACGGCATATATCAGAAGACCATCAGGTGGGACCAGTGTGCCTAGACCAAGTTCTGCACCCGTAGAGACAATCACGGCTAGCACAGCCGAAACAACAGTTACTTTACCTCTTAGACGACCCTTGAAGCCTCCTGAAGATAAGGGTAAGTTCTATCAGGAACTACGTTCATGAGTAAAGTATATAATTTTCGTGCAGAATTGAGCGTTACCACAAGAGTTATAATTGAACGAACAGGTAATTGCATTATCTCTTGCCTTTGCTTATCACAGTGACGTTTATCACACTTATCAGTGGTATTAAGCGGAAAGTACACAGTATCTGTAAGATTTTCATTGCGGTCGTGCAACATTATTTCTGCCGAGAGAAGTGAATTATGACAATGGGTGTTGCAGAACAAGACAAGGAGAATGACAGCAGGAATGCACAGGCGACTCAGGCTGTTATCCAGAGGAGACGGAGACCCAAGAGAAGATCCACCGGTGTTGTCCACGTCGACATGGATGTTAGTACATTAATTGACGTATATGATATTATTAGGAATGAGAATCGTTATTAATTTCCTTGTTTCCCGCAATTGGTTATTGGCGCGTCAGTGACTTTCAAGACAGATTTTGGGCCAAGTCCAGACATATCCACGGTATAGTTGTGTAGGTGTCGTAAATCACTATTTCCATTTGACGTCACAGTGAATAGTTATTTATAATAATGCGTAGGTCTCCGATTTCAGAATATATTAAATTCTAGTGAAAGTAATAGAAAATTTCTTGATGCATGACAGATAGACGCTGTAAAAATATTAATTCATTTTCTTGTATTCTAGGAAATTGATCCGGAAAGACAAGATACATCGGCCGGTGGTGACTACGATGATTCGAAGGTCAACCACAACGAGGTGAGTTATTTCAGTCCTAATTACCACCTAAATTTAGTTAGTGCGTACGATAACTCAAAACGATTATGTAAATTTTTTTCTCAAAGAACTTCAACATGCCAGACGGACAGGTGGAAGCTTGATGAACTCTGTGTTTTCCTTGGAATTGAATATTTTTTCAAGGAACGTACGAGCTTTTATTTTTCTTCAAGGCTCAACTGACTTCTTCTCCTTCTCACTTTACCGCATCTCAATTGTATTCTTATCGGCGTATTCCTTGAAACGTCAACATCTGGCTCCCGTCCATAGAAATTTTGACGAAACGCCTCATCCCGAAGAAAGAAGAAGGGTCTTTTGTGAACATTTTCACACGTGCCAGTTACAAAATTGGCAGATTATCATCTAGGCAGCTGATACTCGGTCATCGCCATTAATAACGCCACGCGATTTCTCCTCTTCTACACAGACCACCAGTCTTCCTCATGATGCACGCCTTGACGCGTTGGCAGACATCAAGTCACGCACTTCTTCTTTGCTCATATATAGTAATCGTGAATCACATACACAAGCACGAGACACAAGATTCGAGTAATTCTGCCTAACGTATAAGTGGCTTTACGCTCTGCAGAAGCTTTGTGATATTTTTGGGACAACTTCTGAGAAGATTAACCCGATTCTTGCATGCTTGGATAAAAATAGTCTTCACTATCTGTGCATCTGAAACATGTGCATCACTGCATTTAGGAGATCCAACAGAACCGAATGAGTCGTCTCATCGATTATAAAACCATAATCATAGTACAGCCTTGATATAGAGTTCGACAAAAATTTCGTAAAACAGATGTCCTTTTTTGGTTTATTGATCTATTCTCAAACAAACAAATGATCCTCCTTATCGCACGTGTGATGTAAAGTCTTTGTATATATATTGACCTCTATGTTGTATATACTAGTGAGCAATGTTTAGTGCTCCCTTCCGTTCTTCGATATTTAAAGACCCGGTAGATGCGCCGCCATTAGGTTTCATTGGGAATGTAGACGAAACATTCCTAATACTCTAGAATGAAATATTCTCTATCTAATGTCTCCAATGAAAAATCTAACAAACACATCTAGAGTATAAAATCTTATTTAAAAAAAAAGTTCTATAAAGCTCGAGCGTCTATTGAACTTTATCTGAGATATGAAATATATCAAAACCTTGTTATTGAGATATTCTGAATTGATATCGTGGGCGACGTCGTAATGGTTCGTATATTTTGTATAGTTAGTCGAATTTTTTTTCTACTCCATTCCATCGCAGCGTGGCTAAAAATGCTCGGTATAATGTATAAATAAACGTGTCTTCCTTCGGTGCTGTCTTAAATCCTAATGTAATGTCGTGTTTTAGCATCCAGCCAAGGAGGTCGGATAAACAGATTTTTAACATTAACTGTTGCGTATAGATGAAACCACCAAAAGCAGCACGTCTCAGATAGTCACGCATACGAAAAGCTCCCAGGTCGATCCAAACATCTTTTCTAATTCTCACACGTGCTAGAAAGTTTTTTTTCCGGAAGATGTCTCATCGATGCCAATGTAATCATTGCACAAGTTGTTGGAGGAACTAGTAATTGCTATAGAATCTCAAGCGATGCCAATGCGTGGGAGTAGCCAGTAGCAGATTTGAAAAGATGATCTGCAAAGTAAAAGCAAGAAAAAATAACAGACGTGGTCATGAACATAGCGACGATGGAGAATCTAAAAATAATACATCGACATTTGAAGTAATGCGCTCCTTTGACATTTAGTGCGAAGTAGTTGATGGTCATTTGCTTAATTGCTGTCGCTAGCAGGGCACCATTGATCCATTAAATGTTTAGTCGTGTAGCGGCCATTGCGTACAATGAATATGTATTTTTGTTTTATTTACTGGAATATAATTTTCAATCAATCAATATTGCACTCAGTGTTCATGGGGTTCAACTAAAAATTGTTCATCCTTTATAGGGATTTTTTAATTTAATGATTTTTCTCATGTTTACTAATTAATGTAACTCACGGCCAAGGGGGGTTTAAGGGCTGTGACATCAGAGCATACGTGTCTCGCGGCATAGAGCTTCAGAAAGTCGTGTGTGTTTCTGCGTGTGTTCCATAAATAGCGCGTAGAGGCAATGCGATGGAAGTGAACTGGCTGAACCACTAGTTCAGCTTCTTAGCCTCCGTCAGTCAAACACTTGCTGTCAGTAGGAATCGTCTAGTCCAGTGCGGAACACGGAGGCCTTAGTCAATTTTAAAAATCATTTAATAAAAGCGTGAAATTAATAAGGAAAAGAAGCACAAAGATATAAAGCAAATACGTAATGCATTTTCCAAGGTGTAAAGTTAGTTAATTAATTTATAATCGAATTGCAAGGCGTGATCGGTTCGTTGTAATAAATAATAGAAAAGTTTGATCACAAAGCCAGTCGTTAGGATCATCAAGAGATGTCCTCCTACAGAAAACGAACCCAATCAAAACCAACGACAGCCGCAGGGCTGCGTGCCCAAGCATCAGCCAATGGAAATTCAATTTTTGGAAACAGACCCAGGAGCATAGCTGGTTTATTTGGTTCCAATCAGAATAGTTATTCCTCGTTGCTGGGTATAAAGTCGTCAAACTACACTACACCGTCCTTTCTCAACAAAGCAGCCAAGACTACCAGTTCATTCTTCAAAAATCCATACTCCAATTCTGTTAATAACTTGAATTATCAGAACCCTTATACGACGTACGGTGGTACTACATCCGGATACGGTGGTCTCACTGTGCCATCTCATTCGACAGTCAATTCACTAAATCTCGCCACACCATCTACGAGCTACAATTATCTGAATCACAGTGGAAAGAGTCGTTCGCCAGTACAAAGAGCAGGAAGTTTTAACCGGACGAAATCAAAGCCAACAACGACAAATTTTGGTTCAAGAAGTTCAAGCTTGCAGAGTCTTGCCGGGTCCGAAGGATACGTCGTAAGAATGCAACATGTTCTGCGATCTTGCCTTGTCCCTTCTGAGCGACATTAAAAATAGCCCGGAGAGGAGTTCCGCTTAGCTCTTAATGTGTTCAGATCGCAGTTTCTCCAGTTATTAACTCTGCGGTATGTTTAATGGGTATATATATTATTTCAGAGCGGTACCGAGCGTTCCGGAAGATCCAGTAGACTTGGATCTGTCTCGTCAGTATCCTCTGATGCACCTACGGCACCTGCGAGGACGAAATCGGTAACTTCGGAGAATGGAGAGCTTGATTATAAGAAGCTCTACGAGGAATCACAAGCTGAGAACGAGAGACTCAGGGAGAAGTTACGTCGTTCCGACGAGCAGCTTAAGGAAACTAAAGGTCTATTGGATAAGGCGCAAACTGCCCAAAATAAGAGTTCCCTCTCCGAGGCTGAGAAACGGGAGAGGAGGGCTATGGAGAGGAAACTCTCTGAGATGGAGGAAGAACTCAAGGTAACGGCAGACGCTTTCATTCCATCCTGGTTTAATGATTCTGGGAGAATAATAAGATAAGGAGTCCCTTGGTCTTCCTTTCATTTTTATAATCTCTGCTGACCTAAGCTATTCTCAATGGACCACACAGAATCACCATCTGCGTTTTCCTCCATAGCTGTTTTACGTGTGCGATACGTGAACGGTGTGAAAGATTTTCGTATATAGACAAAAGCGTCTTTTGCCATTAGAGATATATAATTATTTGTTAGGTTAGGTTGCACGTTGAACTTTCGAATTCTTGTTTTGAACTGTTGCGAGATTGAGTGCAGCGATTATTACGCTAGTTTCTTTATTGTTGTCTTACGTATACATATATTTCTTTTTTACTTTTCTCTCTATCTTCATGCTCTTATTCTTTTTTCTCTGGTCTTTCTTTATCCCATAGTTCTTTTGTTTTTGAGACACTCCACCAGTGGCATTTACAATCCGGAAGGCCGGGCTTTTCAGCGCATCGCTTTTTTTTTTATTTTAATTTGCCACCTTTTGGGAGCCTCCTATTTCGTTCTACCGTTTATTTCACAAGCTTGATTTTAATTTGACACCTGTACGACATAAAGTTTTAATCGTCGCGATCGTCGTTACCATATCGGTTTTTCCTTTTTCAAGTTAAGGTAAAACCTGCTAATCATACTTTCGGCGAGCGCTTTCCTCGTTGCTCAAACCCAAGTAAATTTTTCTTATTCTTAATCCATGGACTATACATTCATTTATATACATATTTATATTTACGTATAATATGTATCTAATTAATTACTGTGCTTTGGTTATTCTTTATTACGGGGGCTTGCTACGAAAAAAAAAAAAAAAAAAAAAAAAAAAAAAAAAAAACCTGCTAATCATACTTTCGGCGAGCGCTTTCCTCGTTGCTCAAACCCAAGTAAATTTTTCTTATTCTTAATCCATGGACTATACATTCATTTATATACATATTTATATTTACGTATAATATGTATCTAATTAATTACTGTGCTTTGGTTATTCTTTATTACGGGGGCTTGCTACGAAAAAAAAAAAAAAAAAAAACGAAAAAAAAAAACTGGAGTATCTGGGCTAACCGTTTCACTGTTTACAGCAATTGCAAAAGCTCAAAGCTGAAAATGAGAGATTGAAAGCCGAAAATCGGGCACTTACCCGCGTCGTATCCAAACTCACCAATACTACTAAATAGGTAAAGGACATAATGACAGCATCTGCGTTAATAATGTACATCGTACGTCACGTACAACATTAATTACACTTTCTTTACTTAATGTTCTGATTCGCAATATTAAAACTTATAATGGAATCGCTACACTTACGTTCTTACACGCTAAGCTTCGCAGACGGGTTCTCTCCGAATTTTATCAACCGTTCTGTTTTTCATCTCGTTTTCACTTGTAAAACGTTTTCGACTCGCCAGTATGTACGATAACGATTTTCAAAAAATCGTACAAAGCGGTATTCGCGGTATTTATGTGGGTGCTTATGAAAAACAATTTTTATAGTTACTACGTGCTGCCTTTTTATACCGTACCAAAGCTGTCCGTACGATTGTGCTTTCTATTCTGTGCCTCAATCCTTATTCTTTTTCGGTATAACCAAGAAAACTTCAAACGCAGTGCTTCGATTCCAATTATGCACCTCAATAAAATTATTAAATATTTTTTTTTTCATAGCTCTATACAGACCAGCTTGAATTCAGCAGTTTGACAGCTGTCACGTAATTTTTTGCACCAAATTTCAAGAATCGTTAATAAAGTCGCGCGTATAAGATTGCCCAATGAATTTTTCATAATCAAAGTTATCACATGATAACTTTCAAATTTGACTGATACGTTTAAGCTGAACAGTCGTATATATTATGTGGACTGAATGCAAGATAGTACCCATGTACCTTCAAACGAGAACATTCAGTGTACGAGCTACGTTCGCGATACGTTACTATTACCTTTAATATTTCGCGAAGCATTGATAATTGCATTGACTGTGGTTGCATGCTGAGACGCTCTCTAGTTTCAAATATTATTCTTACCGCGTAGACTTTTTTGTTTTTCATCAACAAAACGGGCATGCTTTCACGTGCTGCTTTGCGATAATCGTGCGTACATTCTTTAACCGTATGACACGCTATTCCCACGCATGAAGAAGATACGTTCTCACTCACGCTTCCCCCTGTCCCGCACCAATTTTTGTCAAAAGTTCACTGTGAACAGTCCAAAGTTGAAAATCTCTAACATAGACGTTCTTAAGGAGTTAACGGCATGCGCGTGAGAGTCACGTAACTCTTGCTGAGCAATGCATACGTGCAAAATGTTTACCCAGAAAAACAATGACGTAAATAACAAATATAAAAATACTTATACCGCCCCTGTTGTTTGACAAATCCCAGCGTTTATTTCGCGTTATTATTATTTGCAAAAAAAATGGAGACCGTTTCTGTTGCACTTGAAGGGCCAAAAATGAAAGGTTAGCTGAAAGTCTCTTAATATTTAAATACTGACTAAACCCAAGAAACAGATTTGAAAAAAAACTGTCTCAACGAAAACATACCCAAATGTATGTGCTAATCTTTATATTGTACCTCGTATACGCGTGTCTCTCATTTTATGTCCCTCTGTCACACGATAATGAATAACGTCACTCATTCCTTGTTGTTGTGCATTGGGAAAGAAAGTAATATTTCTGCTGATACGTGAGCGTCGCTAGAGCATTGGAACGTGTATTTTCAGATGATGGAGCAACTCAAGTGCGAAAACCAGAGGCTAAAGGATGAAAACGGTGCCTTGATCAGGGTGATCAGTAAGCTGTCCAAGTAACTCCAGCGAGCCCGGCTGAAGCCTACGTAAAAGAAAAAAGGAAAAAAAAACCGTTTTATCTAAGTTGTATTATTTTATCTAAGTTATTACACGATAAATAACCATTTTAACGATACATCATTATCATTATGTTTATTATTACTATGACTATTATTATTATTATTTACGACATATTGCAGATGGATTGATCTTTTTTGTGTTAGTTATTTTATTTATTAAAGGAGAATCAGTTACTCTCGTGGCTGTGCCGAGTGTATGAAACGGGACGGCGATCTTGAATTATTTTATAATCCGAAATCGAGATGCGATGTCGAAAGCAAAATCGAAGGAAGTAAATGAAATTTAGATAAAGAATATCCAAGAGATAAATTCGTCTATTTTAAAGTCGTCTCGAGTCTGTATTATTCCGTCTACGAGTCACTGACAATATACACGTGCAGTTTGACAATGTCTGGCCAAAGTTTTTACAGGTTATGCGATATATCGGCTGAACTGCCTGGATTTTCTCTCTCTGTCTATCTCTCTCTCTTTCTCTCTCTCTCTCTCTCTCTCTCTCTCTCTCTCTCTATAATTTTACCTTGATTATTCGGCTTGGCCGCCAAACACTTTTTCTATACTAATTATAATATTACCGAACTTGACCTCCTCTATTATTCTTGCGAGATCATTATTATACATTACCAGAGCTGTTTTACTCTGTGTTCGATCGTAAGCCAGGGCGATATTGTAGTATATAAACATGTAGATATTTTCGAATATACCGGCAGCGTAATGTACGTAATGCTTAAGCGAACATCGCACGATTCCAGGACACTCATAATTGTCTTCTCGGAAAGTTTGCTGGCTCAAAAGCTAGTAAGATAGTTGAGACCTTAAGAAAGTTGTGGATATCCTTGGGATACAGCAGTATAGTCTATTGGAGTTTGTACTTCTTTTATATGTTGCGTGTCGGGATTCGAATGATCTACGTGGAAAAATAAAAGAGAATCAGCCACATGGTGTACAGTTCGGACCTGTTACTGATATACATTATTACATAAAATATATGCGTACATATATCGCGTACGCGAATGTAGAGTAGTACGAGGTATTTTCTCCAAGAGTCGATCTTCGCTACTCGAAGTGGCCTTTTTCTCAGAAGACTGCAGTTATATAAACGTTTTCACTCGTTGCCACTAATTAGAGAATGATACAGCTAAGCGGCGTGACTTTAATGCGTTAGTTGAACCAGGAGTCTTCAGTACGGCCATATTTCTTTTTTTTTTACAAATATGGCCTACGGTTCAATTGTGATAGGATGCGTACGCGCTGCTTACAAATGGAGGATTGAGCAGTCCTTCCTTTTGAAATTTTTTCCCTGGTTTTGAAATGTTGCAATTCTTGTCCTTTGCTCTTTTCTTCGTTGTCAAAAAAAAAAAAACAAGCGAATACTTCCAGTGCGGTTGACTCCTTCCGGGATTTCAGAAGAAGCAATGAACTTTAGTTGATAAGTCCTTTATACCTTGGCCGGATATTACGTTCCCATCATTGGTCAATTATTCTCAATGGTTGTCGTGAATAAACGTAAAGTGATATGTCTTCGCAGAGTCGTTCTTCTATCGTCAGTCGATATTCCTGTGGATGAAACTTAGCGAACGGGGTGATTATTATACCTGAACGCGACTTCTATGTATAGGGAATACTGGTATAGGATATGACGTAATTGGAGAAACTGCAATTGATACGTTTCTAGTGACATTGTTGTAAAGAATTGTAAGAAAAAATATCAGTGTAGTTGTTTCATATTGAAGTTTGTTACAAAATAACATAATTTAGCGTAACCTTTATTTAGTATAAAGATAGGTAGTCACCTCCCCATTGTACTGTATTATATAATAGTGATATCCATGTGCTTATTGTACTATATAACTTTTAAGTGTTCACAGACGCGTTATATATTGTCGCAGTCCTTGCGAAATTATCATCGCCGATATACGACACCCGTTATTATTGTATAGCTGTGTTATATCAGAAAAAAAAAAATGAAATGATTAACGATATATAACGTAGTAGTGCGCGCAGGTCGATCTTTATCAAATAATGTACACGGCGTAATTTAACCGATGTTGATTAGTAATTCTTAATCGTAAATATTAATTTATTGAAGGCGTAACAACGATCGGTAATAATTAAAAGCGTAACTAATTGCATTAATTTTTTCTCGTTCAAACGAGACACGTAGTCCGCTGGAAGTCTTCTAGTTACTTAAAGGATAAACGAAAGAAAGTGATGAAAAAAAAAAAACAAAAATTGAAAAATATATATACATATATGTATAGCATATAGAGGCGTAAGAAAAATTAATAAGAGCACGTCGTTTCTAACGAGCACAGCGATTATGTCGTTAAAGTATTTTTACTGTCATTGTTGACGTATTTATTTATTTGATCACAAGCTTGCAGAGATCCACGCGTGGCATTTTTGATGCTATTTGCCGGATAAAAATTTTTAACAATTAATCGTTGCCTCGTCTTTTTAGTATTAATAAAAAATAATGGAACGGTATTATTAACATCAGGCTAATCAATCGTTTCGTCGAATAACTCTATTCTTTTCTGTTTTTTTTTATTATATATTTTTTTAATTTCCCTTCCTTTCACTTAAGTGTCGAACAGTATTTTGTCTGTCTTTTTTGGGTTTCTATATCAGAGTGTGGTCCATATTAAAAGTATTTAAGTTGTGTATTGTTGTGCTTACTTAGAAACACACCGTTTGCACTTTTGTTTATTCTGAATTTGATAAAGATTGTCATCTGTTCGCACCCCTTTTATCCAATTTCATTGTCTGTCAAACATGTCACGTATGAACGCGGGGAGACGTGCAAGAGTCGCAACGAACAGTCATGTACCACACGTCATCCAATAATTTCTATAGACATTATTGTTTTATAATATTGTCCATTACGTAAGGAATACAAGTTACTGTGACGCAAGGAAGAAAAATATTGTAGATACACAGGGGGACTGAGGACTCTAGTCTCCGATTCATTGTACCACAAATATTTATTTCCTACTTGATTTTGTACTTGTGACTATAATCATAAAGCGATAATACAATTAAAATTTGGACATGTGTTTTATAGATCTCTGACGTTTTTAACTTCTGGCATTATTTAAATATACATGAATATGAGATGTTTCAAACACTTGTTATACATTATTTCGTATGTTACCTGGGAACAATGCGGTGGCTGAGAATGAAATTTAAGTACTCAGCAATCGTTCCATTATTTTAGTAACTTGTTCCATGTCGGCACGACGCTCGGATCGTGAAGCTACTTGGCCTAAGAATGCCTTGAGTAACTTTTTCTTTCCATTTTTATATTTCTTTACCAATTCTGGATTGTCGTCAATTACACTTTGACAAAGCTTGATCAGTTCTGTTTCGTCAGTTATTTGGAACCACTCATTTCTCTCGACGATCTGTAACAGGAAATTGTTACATGTTTTTATTGTGACGTATATCTTATAAAGATTAAATTAATTTTCACCTGTCGTGGGCTGCTCTCAGAGTCGTCTATTAAAATATCCAGTATCTGCCTTGCTACTGTTATATTAATGTTTCTGTTTTCCAAAAGATCAACAACTTCTCCAATATGTTGATACGGTATAAGACTAAATAATGGATTTATTCGTTATGGTTAATAATATGCCAAGTGTAGTTCATTAAAATTTACCTACCACGAGTTTAATTGTATATTTTTGTTGTTCAAGCTTGTCAGTAAATCTGTGATCAATATATTTGTAACCCGTTTCGCAGAACGTTTGTTGTTTTCCTTCATAATATTGATAAAATATTGTAACAGTACAAGCTCATTCTGAAATCATAAAATAGTATGTATTCATATACATAAAATAGTATGTTAATCCAAATTATGACGGTAAATATAAATTTCTATAATCATCGATAAAATACTTGCCACTATTATAATCGCTGTTTCAGATGATAGCCCAAAGTTTTCTTGTAATTTAACACGTATGGCTTCCGGTAATTCAGGAAGTTGGGACTTTAAAAGCGGGACGTTTACCAAATCATATTTATTTTCTATGCTCTCGTCCATATGCAGATGTAATGGCGGTAAATTGGGTTCAGGCATAAAACGGTAATCCTGAGGTACAGTTAATAATATACATGAATGTTTTTTAATAAGCGATATCCAAGGAAGCGAACGACATATTAATATTCGTACCTGTTTCTCTTCTTTATCACGCATTGGAACTGTCATGCCTTTCTCATCGTTCCATGCTCGCGTTTCATTAACGATTACACCACCAGCTTCCAATTCTAAAATTTGTCGTTCAATTTCGTACCGTACGGCGGTGGCTACATTACGCACGCTACCGATATTTTTTATTTCTGTTCTAATTCCCAATGGTTTACCTGGTTTATTCACGGAAATATTTGCGTCTACTCGAATAGCACCCTCTGGAACATGTCATCGTCAAATTGAGTTATCCTTCGCTTGTATTACGTTTACTAATTTTTAATATTGTTGACAAGTATTACCTTCCATTTTGCAGGAACAAGTTCCTAATCTTTCTAAAATAATTGACAATTCTTTAACCAAGGCAGCAGCCTCTTCACCATCGGTCAAATCTGGCTCAAATACGAATTCCATCAATGGTATTCCAGCACGGTTCAAGTCAACTAAACTCCTACCATAAAAATCTTATTATGGGATCTGAAATAGCCTGCACCTTATTTTACATCGTACTAAATTAGAAAATTGAAGATTGTTATTCACTGCAGGCGACAGTTTTACCTCCTTTCTAGTTCATCGTGCAAACTTTTTCCACTATCTTGCTCCAACTGTATTTGTTTGATTTTTGACAATTTAACATATGCTTTCTTATGTACACCTGGGGTAAATACACGAAACTTAAGTTCTCCATCAACAGCTAATGGTTGCCTTTGTTGCGTGATCTGATATCCTGCCTGTTCAAAAATTGATAACATTGATTTTGTTATAGAAACGTCGACTAAAGAAAAACTTACTGGTAAATCAGCATAGAAATAATGTTTTCTATCAAATAATGAAACTTCATTCAATTTGCAGGACAAAGCTAATGACGTTGATACAGCAGCTTCCACACATCTTTTATTCAGTACCTATGATAAAAAAAATTAAAAAACACTATAAAACAGTATGATCCCCATGTTAATTCAAATATTCAAACAATATCATTACAGGCAGTGTTCCTGGAGTAGCACAATCAAAAAATGATACACAAGTATTAACTGGTTTTGCAAAACTAGTATCCGCTCCAGAAAATAATTTTGACTTAGATGCTATTTGAGCATGGATTTCCAGACCAACTACAGAATTCCATTTTTCTCTGCAAAAAAAATTGCTATTTATTTATTATATTTAGACAGTTGTATATTCCCCTATTAACATATAATTTCACTTACTTGTCCTTTAGTTTTGGTTGTGTACTACTAGAAAAAGCATTTCTGCAATACCAAACATAGGAAATACATTTATCCCATTTATTAATATATAGAATCCGTGGGTTGCCACTAAGTTTCATTCTGAATAGTAACAATGAATTCTGTAACTATATCAAAAATGCATTTTGTAAAGGTTAGGGGACAATTTATTGGCGTCTGCTAGTAAAGCTTCATTCACTCGAAACCGCAAAACTTGTAATCGGAGCAGGGTGACCGCAAGAAATGATGAACACGTATGATGTGCGAAAAGCGCGAAGATGAGCGATTTTTGAGCCACAGATTGGTACGAATTTGAGGAAAACACTTTCGGAGTGGTAAATGCTGTTTTTGTACTAAATATTGGAGGTAAGATCATTGGAAATTTTGTAGATAAGGTAACACATTAAGAAGTTACTTTCAAACTCATCAATCTGTGAGATTGTAAAATTTACATAAATTCTCGTGTAACAATTTATTATAGTTTAGAAACGTTATGTGCAGCATTGGTTAAGGAACTACGATAATAATATCATAGTTTTTCAAATTTCTTTTCATTGTTAAATTAAATGAGCATTTTTCTTTGGCATGCGTCACTTAAACATCACAATCCAATTTTTTAAATTTTTAGTTCAAAACTAAAAAAAAATAGTTTTCTGCATAACATATTGGATGTTTTACATCAATATCTGTGAAATATTCATGCAAACTAGAGCAGAAAATGTAACTCAATAGAATACGACCCTGTTGTAGGGTGATGTTATATTTAAAATGTTTAGAAATGGAGTTAAAATATTCAGGTCATCATAGATCATTGTCTTTAAACTTACATATGTAAACAGGTAAAAGCAAAATATGAGCACTTTATACATATTATATAAAGAAATTAATTTTATTCTTAAAAATTACATTATTTTTCGATTATTACGCGTTTCTCACTGAACCTTTGACTATTTTAACATCGTCAATAGGGCGATCATTTTTATCAGTCTCCACTAGACCTATCCTCTTGACTATTGCCATTCCTGAATGTATTCGACCTGTTAGATAATCAGTATAGATTGTTATATGTACATAAAACTGGAAACTCTTTAAATACCAATAAGTGTTTTACCAAAAATAGAATGTTTTCCATCAAGCCACTGAGTTGGAGCAAGTGTAATGAAAAATTGAGATCCATTAGTGTCTGGTCCAGAATTTGCCATTGACAGTATGCCAGCACCTAAAATAATTAAATATAGAATTTAAATACTATGTTATTCTCGATTCAACAATACTATATGTCAAATTAAATAATTTACCAGTGTGTTTTAAGTCGTCATGAATCTCATCATCGAAGCATTCTCCATAAATAGACATACCACCTTTTCCTGTACCCGTAGGATCACCACCTATTAATACAGAATTCAATTGCTATTAATAAAATAGTGATATCTAATTATGCAAAACAATGAATCATATACTATCTTACCTTGAATCATAAAGTCACGTATAATCCTATGGAACTTGGTACCATTGTAATAACCGCGTCTCACAAGTTCAGCAAAGTTTCTGCACGTAATTGGAGCATGCTTCCAATAAAGCTCAATCGTAATTTCACCCATCCTAGCACAAATTGAAACAAGTTAATATCAATGAACTTGCAAACTTAATATAACCTTCGTTTAGAATTAAAGAATAAAAACTTCACTCACGTAGTCTCTAAAGATATGAAAGGCGGTTGCCAATGTTTATCAGGAATTCCTGAAATATTTGTTAGAGCCATTTTTTCACTTAAAAATTTGTTTCAAAATTGATACTGATTCATAAGGCGGCATAACCTAGTAGAATCGCTACGGTATATTCGGTATACTCCAAATTGTCAATCTTCACATGGTACCAATATAATAAAATGAAACTATACACCCATGCAAAAGTTATCTGCATAAGAACTAAGCATAAGGAACATGAGGCAACTATGGCCAGACTTAAAGTTTTGATTGCGAAATTAATTATATCCAATAATCGATAATTTTCATCGATTTTTATCTGAACTTCTATGAGGCAACTCGCGTGATTATAAAGATAACGTAATCATGTAACTATAAAATTGCTATAGTAGCACCTTATATAACAAGAGATCGCCTTATCAGAATATTCTTATACTTATTTTTAACTGTAATTAAAAAATTTTTCTATATAGAGTATAAACATAATATGTGCATATAGTTAGGCATAGTGTACGAGGAGAACTAGATTCTTTGGCGATTACAGCTGTCTCCAGCAATAATACGCCATTATTAGCGGCTGTAGGCTGACATTAAAGACGCGTTGCGTTGTGTGTTCCACGATATCGCGGTCCTCTTAGGCATATGGAGAATGTCGTAAAGAAAAGTAGCCCGACCGTGTTCCGCGGTGATTTTTAAATGTGGTCTGTCGAATCAAAATCTAAGGCGCCTCTTTATAAATTGCGAAGGCTTTTGGCGCACGTATTAATTAGAGTTGCCGGGAGGAGTTAACCTTAAAAAATATGTACTCACCCAGGGATTTGGGAAAGCCGGATTATATTAGTCTAAACATTCACGACACTGCATCATTTGCTCGAGGAACCTCACGCAGTCTCTGGAGGGTAAGAATATATATATGGTCTTCATAAAAAGATTGATGTTAAACATTTTTTTGTAAAACATTTTACATCTCTGACTGTTAAACCTTGATTAAAAAGTGACTCTTTTTAATTATGTTTTCATTATGTTATTAAAACAGAATTTCGCTTTTCCAGCAATGGAATCAACTATCTAGATTTCAGAGGAATATTTTGTACTTTGCTGTGATCACCATCTTGCTTGTTATATTTTACCTTTTGCCTGGCGAAACAAAGAGTAATATTTTGATAAATGATAATGATTATGGAAATGTTAAGGTGATACAGGATACTCCGAAACATGATAAGGTATTTAAAAGAAACATGTAAATATGATTTATATTACATATAAGTTTATTTATACAAAAATATTTATTTTTGTAGTTGGTTGAGGAATTGGTAGTGGATAATGCTGAACAGGGTGGTGGGGCTGATGGTGGGGAGGTAATAGAAGAACCAGAATTCCAACCAGAAATCAATCAGATTGACGATGACCAGATAGGTGAACCACCGCAACCTAAACCTAATGCCCTTAAATTTGATGGTAAATTTCTTGTGCAATCTGTGTTGGAAAAGTTATATATATATATCTCAATTCATTGTATCTCTTAAACAGGCCCACAAAATGATAGGCAAAGGGAAGTGATAAAAGCATTTAAACATTCCTGGTATGGATATAAAAAATATGCTTGGGGTCATGATAATATTAAACCAGTATCAGCAGGGCATCATGAATGGTTTGGCTTGGGACTGACTATAGTTGATGCTTTGGATACATTGTACATAATGGGTTTGAATGATGGTACACATACAAATTAATAAGTATTATATAAACAAACTACACTCCAGCCTTTACATTTATTTCAGAATTAAAACCATCTGTTCTTTTCAGAATTCGCGGAAGCTCGAGCATGGGTCGAAAATAGTTTACTGTTTACTCATGATCGTGATGTCAACTTGTTTGAAGTTACCATAAGAGTACTCGGTGGATTGTTAGCAGCTTATCACCTCTCAGGCGACAAACTCTTTCTTGATAAGGCTGTAAGTCAAGGACTTAACTTCTGAACCATAAGCCATATATTACCATGGTTCAGTTACTCCCCATAATCAAGTAATAAATAAAATCTGATTTTTAATTTGAATAATTTAAGACTGATCTGGGTGATCGTATGATGCCAGCCTTCTCAACGAGATCCAGTGTTCCATTCTCAGATGTTAATCTAGGCACTAAGAGTGCACACAGTCCAAAATGGGGTCCTGATAGCAGCACCAGTGAAGTTACATCTATACAATTGGAATTCCGTGACCTTAGTCGTAGTACTGGCCAGCCGAGATTTGAGGTACTAATTGTATACATTATATGAGTGAGATCCCATGAATCGTCTTTCACATTTAATTTCAGGCAGCAGTAGCAAAAGTTTCGGAACACGTTCATCAGCTAGAGAAATACGATGGTTTAGTACCAATCTTCATTAATGCAAATACTGGTTTGTTCAGAGAGTACGCAACAATAACACTTGGAGCACGAGGTGATAGTTACTATGAATACCTATTGAAGCAATGGTTACAGACCGGAAAGACTATTGATTAGTATGTACAATACTTCTGTGTTATCGAATTGTATTAATGTGTGGTTTAATTATATTATTCTTCTTTAGTTTACGTGATGACTATTTGCTGGGTATTGCGGGGACTCAAAAACATCTCGTGCGGCGTACAGCAGTTAATCATTTCTTATTTATAGCGGAACTTATAGGAGCGTCAAAAGACATGAAACCGAAAATGGTAACCAGTTTTAACAGTCTTTTTAATTGATGATAAATTTTGAATGTCATTGCAATTCATATACATTGAGAAATTATGTTTTACAGGATCATTTAACTTGTTATCTGGGAGGGACGTTGGCTTTAGGTGTCCATCATGGATTGCAACCAGATCACATGGATCTGGCTCAAGAAATTGTTAAAACTTGTTATCAGACATATGCGATCCAGCCCACCTTCCTTGCTCCTGAAATTACGTACTTTAACGTTCAAGTAAGTACTCTTTATTTGAAAGATAATGAAAAATTGTATCGTATTAAATTCCTATAATAACAAAACATGTATTTCGTCTACAGAAATTGGAGGATGAGAATCATATGGATATGTACGTGAAGTCAAATGACGCGCACAATCTTTTGCGTCCTGAATTTATAGAAAGTCTTTTCTATATGTGGTATTTTACTGGAAACAAGACTTATCAAAACTGGGGCTGGCAGATATTCCAGGTATATAACACTTGAAGTAATATTAGATAGACATTTTTTTTCGTACGAGACGCCGGTTAATGCTTCAATACGTTTTATGCACCTAGGCTTTTGAAAACTACACCAAAGTACCAAATGGATATACCAGCATCGGTAATGTTCGCAATGCGCATAACGTACGACCGCGAGACATGACCGAGAGCTTTTGGTTTGGTGAGACACTGAAATATTTATACTTATTATTTGATGACACGAGACAATTAATCAATTTAGATAGATGGATCTTTAATTCGGAAGGTCATCCATTACCCATTTATGAGTCATAAAATTTAATGTACTCACAATTTATACGAAACTCAACACAAAAGCTTATAATCTGAGTATGCTTACTCAAACAAACTTCATATTGTCCACGCGCCCTAAATTTTTCTACGAAATAGCAATGATATTACGGCTTCCCGATTTATTATAAATCCAAAACAGGATTATTTCCAGTCGGACTGTAGTTGCAGCACAATAATTGTACATTTACTATTTTACAAACTGCAAACATTTTTAAGCACAGTTTGTGATATGGTACTTATTTCCATTATCGTAATTGTTACTCGCGACGTTAACGCAAGTGATTTATAAGGGATAAAAAAATAACGAATAGATTTATTGAAATGTCACAAAGAGAGTAGAGTCGTGTATTGTGATCTCCTATAATGAACGTTTATGGTTAACTAATGAGAAGCTGTTGTGAGGACAGGATGTATTATACTCGTTATCATTAGGGGGGGAAAAATGAAAATTTTCTAGTCGTCAACTACTAATCTATATCGTCCTAGATAGTCTCAAGAATTATTATTTTCTCTTATTTCCCAAACAATGCAAGCAACTGTCAGGATCAACTGTCTTTGCTAAGTATCCATTATGAGTGCAATGATGATAGAAATAGAGAATGTCTGTCCTTATATACAATATACAGATTATTACGCTGCGATAGAACGAAGGAATCTTTTTTGAACAAATTATTATTTCCCCAGAAGACTGTCTTATGTAATCGATATCCATCATCGTTTATCATTATGATGTCCCCTTCGTTGTTCCAACTATAGTTTAATCTCAAATAATTGACAGATGATATATCATATAAAATGTACAATCTAGGGAGAGTGTGTGATCTTATATGTTGTGTGAATTCCTCTCAGTGATTTTACTTTGTAAAGTCAAGTTCAGAAAGTCGTAGTAAAGCAAGGTGAAAGATTTGAGATATAACAGATGTGATTTTAAATATTTAGCAATAATTAAGCTGATGAACATGAATTCTGAAAATTAATCGATCGAAATTATGTGATAGATAATGAGGCAAATATTAATATCATTAGACTACTATCCACTAAACGTTAAGAGATAAATGTGAAAAAAATCACTTAGAGCGAACAAACCTTTAGCTTAAAGTCGATCAGTGATCATGGTGACACTTAAATTACCAGCTTAATTTGTAAATTATATTATTACTCGTCTTTTCTGTAAATAACAGTAAATCCTAAAAATATATATTATTATATGGGATGTGGAAGACTTTGAGACGTGGCTTTGAGCTCGTTTACATTCATTACTTTTTCCAATATACAAGATGAAAACGCACCAACTGAAAGGTTGGTTCTACCATAGAAAGCAAATGACCAAACTAGCTTCATAAGTTGGTGGGTTTAGCCTGGGCAACCCTACAGACCCAAAACTCTATATAAATAAATCGGTTACCCTCTTTAGAAAGTATATAATCATTAAATAAAATCGTTAACTAACTTAATTGTAAACTGCTGTCAACCATGTCTCAATGGCTCATATAAGTTTTCGGTATGTGAAGAAAAATAAATACGTAACATTCGACATAAAATAGAATTGCACTTTTAATTAATTTCTCAATCTCCGTACACTCACGACAAAGATATATCTTACCTCGAGTATCTCCTTAGTCTAATAATCCCAGAGTTCATGGAAATTGTAAGATATTTATTTATATATAAATTCGCCCATAAAAAATCTATCACTTGTGTAAATACATTATCAAATGTACGTCGTCCTCGCCACTGCATTCCCTTACAGCATCCCAAGGAAGACTACGAATGTAATTCACCTCTACAACGCGTACTTTTTCTATTGACCCCGGAAATAATTAAATCAACGATATTTAATTTCCTCCTATTTCATTACCACGTGCACATAGTATATTCTGTCTTTATCAAAGTCATTAGGTCACGATATGCAAAGCATATAGAGCCAGCTGTTGTAATGAGTTATACGTATGGTACAATGTCTAGATCATTACACGTACCAATTCTGGATCAGTTCTATTGATGGGGATTTACGAAATTTAGTATAATAACTTTTCCTTATCTCTGTTAACATATTTTCTCCTAGCTGTTCACCATGCAAAGACTTGTACAGTGTTAAGGCACTCAGAGCCACCAGCTGTACTATACAAATTTATCATAAAACTGAACTACCACTTATAATAAATGTAAAAGTATCAAAATACAATTACGAATTTACCTATCTCGTGTATTATCAAGCGGAACCAAAACTTTGTGTAAAATCCCAGTAACTGATCCTTAGAGAAAGTAGTTACGTGTAATTGACACAACGAGCATATAAGACTGACTGCTCGTACAAGCGATTATACTAGTGTCTTTTTATCTACATTAGACAGGCGAGTATCTATCTAGTGTTAGTACCCTGGAATGATTGCTATTAATAAATTATCGTAAAGATCATTACTTCCCCGGTAATGGAATTCGAGCGAGAAGTTACGTAATAGAAATTGTTCAAATTCGCAAGTGAAAACCAAGTAACGCTGTAGCTCGTCTATTCTCTGGAATATGTATATAACCAACGACAAGAATTGGTCTATAGAGACATGAGGAAAAACTTGTAGATAAACAAGACTTAATGGTAGCTCTAGATAGCTATACGTTCTAATCCTAAATCTAATACCTCTTACAATAACGTTGATCCCTAATGCCAAATCCACATGCTCATTGCCCTAGGTACCTTTTCAAGGACTGAAGAAATATTTTTCAAAACATTTCCACTTGTTATCCAGATCGCCTTCCTGTTACTTCTATACTTAATCTACAAGGACAAGAAATATATATCCAAGTCCATTAATTCTATACGGTAGACACTGTAATTCTATGCGAGAACCGTGTACGAGCGGTTGACTTAGCGAAAATAAAATCCTTGAGAATCACAGCTACCAATGCCAATATTAATTTATTAACAATATACGTATGTACCTATATATATATATCTCATCATTTATCAAGTCCAAGCAGTATCAGACTCCGAGTGCGCGCACTCACTTAATTCAATAGACAAGACGCACCCTGTACAAGTGCTTGACCCTCTCGTCTCAGAGTATCGTGCACTCGCAGCACTGTTGCGTAAAGTACAGGCACTTTATGACGCAGGGATCGTCATCGACGTCGTGAACGAGCTGTTTGCCGTCGGCGACGTCGTAGTAGTCAGCCCCGTTCTTCTCGATCGAGGGCTTAGGTTCAGGAACCGGTAGAGTCTTGTGAATAATCGGCACGGCCTCCTCGATGTCCTCGACGTCGACGTCGACACCCGTCGACTTCTGTATCGAAGATATCGGAGTTATCTTTCCATTGTGAACGTCGTTCGGCGTCTCGAATCCCGACGAGGGTAAGGAAGCTTGCAGGGGCGGCGGCGAATCTCCAGACATCAAGACACTGAAACATCAATAATTTATTAATCTTAATACGAACGTCCGTACGGTATTTCAATTGACAATAAAGACATTTATTTTTCCTATCTTCCAATTGAATTCTAGTCTGATACTATATAGGCAACGTATGACAATTATGCATCCTGTTCGATCTTGCAGGCCTCAGCAGCTTCTCGTTGCCCAAGATGAGATCGAAGCAGTGGCAATCTCTACGATAGAGTCCAGTCTATATTAAGTAAAAATGATAAATGATATTCAGCGACTTCGCGTATCTTGCTGCACAGTTTGCTAAGATGGCGATATACGTCCTAGCTGTCTACGCGTGGGTTATTTAATACCCACTGTGTCCACTTCTAAATACGTTACTCGACACTTAGCTAGGTATTATATTCTTTAGCTAGTGTGCACTACGAAATGGGTGGGTTGGTACTCCTGATTACGTTTAAATCGATCAATTCGAAACCGATTGACGATACAGTATTTACTGTCACTTAAGGATAAGACTTATAAATCGATACGTGCAGTGCGAACGTAAGACAAAGTGTATCAAGATGTATTTTGACATTTGACAATAATTCCCGCTATGATCGTTCGCATACATTAAATTTGTGGCAAGATTGCTTCACGTATTTCGAATTCATAAGTATCCGATGTCTTTGACAGGTATAATATATATGTGCGATTTTATGTTGCGCGTGAAAAAAGAAATGGCGCCTTTTTAAACTTGGAGAATTTCTTATAAATGTCAGGCATTGACGTAAGAACGGTTCGACGCAATTTTTTTTACAATTCCTATCAACATATTTTATCTATAGTTTATGCAGTCTTATCGTTATATAAGGATTTATCGAATTTCTTTTATATTACTCTTCGAGTCATTCGTTTTTCACGTAATACAGTGATATCGAAGAGGAGTAATTCTCGCGTGGAATTAACGTGGCATTTGGTTCTGAAGTACCAATAAAATTATCTAGGTCGTTGAGCTTGTTGACTTTGTTAATTTTAGACTAATTGAAATACGTGAGGAGCGACAGGTTCATTTAAATACACTGTACGCGGTATACGATTTGTATGTACAAGTAGTTGGATAGCAGTCTGGGCTCTGATAAAGTGTATAAAACATTAATGAGTTATCAGTATACCAAATTAAGCCGTAAGGTAAATTCTTCACGAGCAAGCCTCCGTGTATATACCGGGTGACAGTTTGCGTAAAGTAAATTTAACGAAATAGATAAAACCGTTGACAATCGTCGCGCTCCAGTTTCAGGATGCTTCCAGCGCGACAGTATTAAAAAAAAAAAAAAATTGGCTCTTTAAGCCTTTTCGTCCGGTCCCAAGTCACAGGATATTAAGCCATACTGATTTCAGTCACGAAAGGATGAGCAGGCTTCGTCGAACGGTCAAGAGAAGCAGATAAAAGAAAAAAGAAAAAACCCTCACGATTTACGAGGATCCAGAGTGTAATTTCAAGGAGGAAGGAAACTATGTAAATTATCTTTACCCTGAAATCTACGAGGGATCAGACATACCATGTAACACTCTTGATGGGGTACATCCTGGCTTCCTCCTCCTTCGTCAAGGTCGGGTAATACATCTTCTCGAGGAATTTCGTGAATACGTGAGTATCGCCCGTAGCAATATACCCCGTGACAGTCAGGTCACTGTAGCCAATGCGAAAGAGAAAAAAAAAATTTCTAATTCTTTTATCCCCAGAGGATGCAGACGATCGTTCCCACGTGGAAAAGACACCGGAGAGCCAAGATGCGGATTAGTCGTTATCAGTCGCCGTGACGAAAACGTAACGTGAACGTTTCACCACTGAGACACAAGACGTTTCACGTTGTCAGCGAGAATCATCCCAGGAGGTGTCTGTTTTGACGATTCCCTGATCTTCAAGGGAAGTCTGACGTCAGTGTTAATGATCTTGCGACTGGGTCAATAATCGCTATGGATATTCGACGCACCCTCGATGATAATCGAAGCGTTTCGATTCGCCTTGATAAGAAGACCGGGAAGATTAATCGGTGTAAGAAATCCACCGGTGCACTCTTCCATCACTCACCATGTACACGTTTGCCTTTCAATCGCGAGAGACTGTTTAAAAGATGCATCTTGCATACGTCGTGACGTCGACATCGTTAAAAGGTTAAAGTACCCAACCGTCTGACATTCTGCCTTTAACGGGGGCTAATTGACAGCAAATATCACGGATTATGTCTGAATGATGCACTGTAGTGGTTTTCAATGAAGAATCGATGCTCGACACTGTTTTAAATACTTTGAGTTCTCGAGCGAGATCCTTTAGAGGGAGATTTCGTATAGTTATCTCTGTTATGAAGAATTGTACGAACGTTAAGATACACGAGAGCACGGGTGACGTGATATCTTTCGCGCGTTGGGTTAAGAGTGAATTATCACCGTTTTATTTCATTTGTCAGCGGGATTCACACTACCGATTATTTTCAAGTATTGGGTAATCATAGTAAACACACGTGAATACGAATGGGAAACGAAAGGCTCTTCCGGGCGTGGGAGTCGAGCGAGAAAATAAGTAAGGCTCGTGTATTTCGTAGAGGAATCGAGCACGCGACTATCGGAAACCTATATACCGGGGGAACCGGCGTGCGTTCCATAGATTGCATTTGACTGGGAGGGTGAGAATGCAGCTGCTCCCGAACTTCCCTTTTCTGCCCCCCATGTGTATAGAACGATTGGACGAAATCTACGAGGTGTATTACGCCAGCTTCTAAATCGCTTACTGATTTCTAATGGAAACTCCAGTGAAAGCGGGCCCGATCGATATTTTCACTGGAATTACGATTTTTTCAAGTCTTGCCGCAATTATCGCTTCTCGCTGAAACTGAATCAGGTTTATCCGCCATGTTATTTAGAACAAGACAGTCGGTTTTTTTGTACCTCGAAAGAACTTTTTTACCGTTTACGCGCGAGTTACCCGTTACGGAGTGCACCTATCCAGGTTGACAAATTTCTTAAGACAGTGCATAAGCACGAGCCGAGTAATGAACTTTTGCAACAGCGATACAAGACAGTTCACGGGATCGTAGAACTTCTTCACTTTGTATATTCAGTATAAATACTTCACTCTTCCGTATCAGGTACGTTTAACCAAAGAGTAGGAAACTGTCTTTACTAGAAAAGTAATCGCTCGATAGTTGATTATGGAGCTATTGATCACGTATATTTGCTGATACTAAAGATTAGCTCATAAATTTTTACACTTCGTAAGATAAGGGTACTTCGGTATAGCCATATCGAATAAAAAAAATTCAATGTACACGATTTTCGTATCACGTGTAAGATCGAATTACATGCTTCTATTTAATTTCGTTCCGAATGTATAATTTTTATTTCAATTTTTAATTACAGACAAGGCCATCCCACTTGATCCGTACGCTGACACTAAAATGACGATCATACGAAGCCGGTCGTGCAACGGCCGCGGTTGCCGTTAAACTGTTGATCCTACCCTCTGACACTTTTCACGTGGAGACGAATTTCGAAGCCGGAGGGAGTCAGGTATGCGAGTTGGCTGCCAGTAAGAGGGCGTAGGCGCTCAAGACTCGCTCTGTGGTCGGACCAATCAGAATTGGAGAGCTTGAACGTAAGAAATATACGTTACGTTCGATTGGAAGGACAGTAGCAGGACGATGGAATGCATTATAAGAGAATGAAGAACCCTCGTGCATAGCGCTTGGAGAATATTCGCGCGACGATCACTTTCGTCGGGAATGCGTCGAGCCGATGAAACGTAGAAGCATGCGTCGTGTTTCCCACGGTTACGCAGGTAACCAAAACTTTTACAGCACTGTCTGGCGGATAAATCCTCTTAAAGGACGATAACCTCAAGGAATGTAAGGACATGAAGCTATGCTGTTACAGGGTTAATCTGGACCAATGGTAAACTTTAAATAGCTGCAGTAAACTTGACGCGTGAGGCGGAAATTAACCGAAGCAAAAAGAACTGCAAGAGTCTGGAATTTTCAACAGTTGGTAATGCAGGGCACGGCCCGAAATTTATGGCCACTTCAAGCTCTACAGGCCACATTCCACCAGTGTATTTTTCAGTCACGTACGGCAAGGCCATCTGTCTTTAATTGTCACTGAACACTACTGTGGGAAAGAAACAAGATATATTGTGCAAGTATTTAAAGAAAGTTTCGACAGTTTCACCCACAGTCACGTCTGACGTCAACGTAGATACCGATTAATGCATGTCCTGGTTGCTTCGCAGACGCCTGGAGCAATTAAAGTAAATTAGTTTATTTCACTTATAAATATATAGTGCCCTTAAAGCTTATAGGTAATTTGTACAAGTATAGGCAGTTACAAGAGGATATTAAGCGGGACCAATTGCTAAGGTAGATATTTGGTGTTTATTGAGGTTCGACGTTGTTATTGAAGTAACTATTTTTTTTTCATTATTAACAGCTGAGCGACAAGGTGATCCGAGAGAAATCAAGATGAAGAAGACCATGAAGAACACATACTCGTTATCATCCTCGCTACGCTACCGACTAATGGTAGCTGGACAAGAGCCTTAATGGCAAATTGCTCGTGACACAATTAACTAGGGTCGTTGCAGCTAAAACTTTAATGCAGCTTGCAATGGCTGCAGCGTTGAGTGCGCTTTAAAAAATTTGTAGTAAATTCTTCCGCATTACTAGCTTAGCTCTGGGCTATCAATATTCGTGCATGTATATATATACACACAAGCGTGTTATTTCTTTACTGACTAGCAGCAAGAAGGCATACGTGACTACACGGGTATTACTGCATAGTAAAATCTTACTGTATCTAACGTGCAGTGCTGTAAGATGCCATGGTAGAAGAAAATTGTACTTGATAGTATTAAGTTATTCCGAGCGTAAGACGATAGTTTCATGATTTAATTATTTTTTGCTATACTAACGTTTCATCACGTAGAAAGGTCAGGCTCGGTTACGTATATTTCAATGATTGGCACATTAAAAATGAAATGTTAGTACGGAAATAAGCATAAAAATATGGCCAAGGAAATCTATACTGTTTGCGAATTAAGAATTAGTAAATTATTAATGAACATTATATTCTAATCAATATTACTTTTGCACTCAACCGCAGGGAGTTATACGTATCTATTGCATTAGGAGTAAGAGAATCCAATCATCTTGATACTCTGTATTCGCGATATACCTGCACTCGATATGAAGCACACATTGTTATTATTACACTGTAACGTACCCCAGGTAATAAGCAAGTGGCATGTTTTGCTCCTTCACAAACATGTTTGAATTTCGACACAGCGGAAAAGAAAATATTCGAGCACGTCTGATCTGTTCTGTTAACAAGACACGAGTCACCAGGATCTGACAAAACGAAGAACCCGTCACACACACCTACCTGGGTAATAATTTACACCCGAGGCATATAAATGTCTACATTCTAAATCTGTGACTGGAGTCACATCGTTCTGTTAATGTTTATAGACGATTTAAAAAAAAATTTATTTAAATTTTAGTTTATTTAAATTATTCATGAATACCGCAGCCTCGTGGTTTTACAGTAAATTTCAAAAACAAGATTGACTGATATAGCATTATATTACTGTCCACTTTAGACTGGATAGTATAGTTTACGAAAAGCAAATCCAGTATTCTTACGTACAACATAAATACCTTGTTGCCATCTATCGGCGTGCTATGTAATTAATTAGTGGCAGTGCATCGTGAAATCTATGAACGGTAATCAACGCATGACAAGTATTAAGATAACTGACTTTATCATTGATACAGTTGTCAGAAAGTTTTTTCGATTGGCTTATTTAAATTGCATTTCGTAAACTAAACAGCAGGAGAGTCTTGCGGCGGCAGAAATTGAAAACGGTAAATCAAAATTCATGAAAGCCATATGGCCACCATAACCATAAATATACGACTGATAACAAGTTGCCAGAATAAGATCGACTTACTTGTACTCCCCGCGCTGCGGTAGTGGATTTTGAAACCGCATTGTTCGGACGCTTGGGTGAACTAGGAAATTTATACCTCAAATATACCTCAAATAAACGCGACAGACTATAAATACAACATTGATAACACGACTCATCGCTTCGAAGTGCAAAAGCCAACTGAGACAAATGACGAGCTGTACAGGTGAAAATCAATGGTTATAATCTACTCACCAGTTCCCATTATGTGTACCCTAAGAAATCCTGGTCCGATTGTGTCAACAGGCATAAAAATTATATAGAAAAAAAGAGCATTAGATAGAAATATTACGAAAAATGTATTAAAAAGGAAGAATCGTATTTAGAAAAGTCAAAAAAAAAAGCAAGAAATTTATTTGCCTATAAAACAGATAGATTGCGCTTAATACGACAGTTATTCGTTTGTTAAAATTTCGACTATCCAAGGTCGGTAGATTGTACATACAGACCAATGGCGGCAGCTTGAAATTTCCCAGGGATATATTAACCGACTAGGTTGAAGAGTTCATAAAAAGAAATTATAGAAACACGATAATCGTGCGTATCGATTTTGCTTTTTGTCGGGCGACTAGAAGAAATGGAAGTGAGATAGAACGAAAAAACGTATCATGGACTCCACGCTTAGATTCGAAAGACGGTAAACGTGCTTTTATCACACAAATAGTACAGGCAAACGAAACATGATTCCTTCGTCTCAATGAAAGAATCGTCAACTCACAATGATCAACGCTGTCGACCGTAACGATTCGTCACGTTGACGATCCGTCCGGCACGGAGGTGTGCGAGCACGTTCGAATCTATGCAAATGGGGGTGTAGCAGAGGAGAATGATGATACACGAATCATGGGTAACGTTCACGAAGCTTCGTCGTACTGAATTAGAGCTCGAGTTAGATGAGATTGTAAATGGGTAGGGGTACTTTAATTTAATCGATTAGAGTAATCATCAGAATACCACGAATTACTAGTGTGGTTACCCGATTATTACCAACCTGTGAATACGGGTCGAGGCTAAAATCGGTCTACGCCTCTGCTATCCATGAACCCATTTAAATTTTATGCTAACCACATCTACCTGTATATTCTATTTCTGGTATCGTAGCATTACGTCAAAGGAAAACTATATATTGCTACGGTATATAGGTACGAATATACCACGGTATATACGAATATACTATAAAAATAATTATAATGAGAATTCGACCGATGGTAAATAACGAAGTGAAAATAATTTTTCATGAAAATGATCTGGAAGGTGATTTTAACTATTTTGCAGTGTCCGAGGTCAGAGGTTAACTTTGGCCGCATCAAGGTTGCTGACGCAAGAATACCGACAATAGCGGGCGCAGAATCCCATATATTCTGGTACGTGTAAAAAAGAAATATTACAACCGATATCTCATCAGTGGATGGTAATGGTTCGTCGATTTCTGCCGAACTAAATCGGCCAGTACCTACCGAGTCGAATTACGACGAGACAGCGTAGCCATTACTCGCGAAGGTTTCAGGTTAAGCTTACGAAGCAAAGACGATCGGTCCCTTCTCTCCAGAGAGAAAGAAGAGGAAAGGCGAAAAGAGAAGAGAAACCGCGCGGCTTGGCTGTTCTTTCGAACCACTGCGCAATAAATTACCATTCCCTCACGCTCGGACGTTTAGGTGGGTAAAGCAGCCGAGACTGGCCATCTTGGGTAACTCACCCTTCGTGATGATGATGATGATGGTTCCTCTTCTTAGGGAGGAAGACCCAGGTTCGTACGTGATGCTTCTTTTTGTTCGACTCCTTTTTAGGTCTTCCAAAACTGTGTCTACCACCGCGTCCGCCACTACGCGACCTGGAGAACATCTTGACCCGGATTCCTCGTGGTTTTACTATTTTCTTTAATTTGGATCAGAATTTTATCACCACTGGATCATCCTGTGATATTATCGTCGATTAATAACACCGGTTCATTGGAAACTGTTCGTTGACGTAGGAAAGAGCCACAGCCCTTTCGACACAATGACCGGATTGTCAGTTCATGTACAAAGCCTGTATTGTCTTGGAGTTGAGACTCAAGCCCAGCTTAAGGTAGAATAAAGAGAATGTTACAGTCCTATTGTATGAGGTAGACAGTGCCAAGTTCATGCGGTCGAAAATCTGTCACTGAGGTTTAACTTCACTCACTGAATTGAGGCAACGTTCATGCTCCAAGAATCCACTATGGTAGTCCCTGTTGAACTCGGATGAACTCTTACTGCCGAAAAACCCGTCTCTCCGGAACACCTTGGCGGGACGCAAAAGAGAAGGGATTCCTGTCGAGAAGGGACTTACGACAACGAAAGCGAATCAAAGAATATCCTTAAAAAAGCAGTAACCTGGTAGTTGTTACGCTACGCACGTCATGCACTAGGGATCGCATCTGTCCAACAGCTGTTGACCATGTAAGGACCCCTGACGACACTAGCGGATTGTACGAGAATTTTCTCAATATTAAGGGGTGCAGATATGCCAGCTAACTTCCTCGCGTGTATGGCGTCTCCTTGAGGGTTATGTGAATTTTATCTGGGGACGGGTATTTCTCGAACGTACAAGAAAAAGATCTTGCGAGAGACCTCAAACGGGTCCTGAAGCGTTGTAGTCCCTCAGCGACATGCCATAAAGCGAAGATTAGATATATATTTTCATTCTTCTAAAGATCGTCAGAGGTGACTACGTGCTTTATTGCACCACCTACGTTACGACGTACAATCTGAATTTCTGACTTGGGATTTATGTGTCCGCGTAGAATTGAATGCCAATAATCTAACGGCGTGGGCGACCTTTTATTATTTATTATATAAAATAGTTGCGTCTAGAGGAACGTTGTCCCGCAACAAAGTTGAGCAATAAACAGTGACTGATAATACGAGTCAGGTTTTACTGTATTCTCAACGGATCCCACGCGTCGCCAGTGACACTACAATTAGCCGTGTCAAACTTGGCGAACAGTCAAGAAAAAACCATGTCACTGTCCATAAGAATCTCGTGAATTATGGCCCGGTGAAATGCATTGCCAAACGAGAGGTGCGGCCATTCGATAAATTTCAATACTTCGAAGACCGTGAGAAGCGTCCAAAGGATTTCATTGGCGAATTGCCTCCGTCATAAAATTAAACAACGGAATCATAGAGAATTCTTGATTCAATGCTAAGCTTATCGAACGTGGTTTTAATATTTTTCTTCATAGTCACCTAATTATCTGTACGCCAAACTTCGTTACCCCCATCGATCAGTACTTGACGATTAACCAAATGCTGGGATTCGCACAGCGTACTGTGCACTGTAACTGTATTTCCCGAAGACTATCTCATAAATTGTATGTAGCAGAACCATAAAGAATCTTCCCGAGGTCTCGACAATATTCCCATAAAGAAATTTAATCGTGTCAGAAGGAATCAGCAGGCGAGACACGCTTTGATTAATCACCTGCGTATACATTCGGTGCTACGTGAAAACTCGCCCAGAGTAGGCTTCTACTTTTTTTCCAGCGCATTCGCCATAACGGTAGACCGCTAACCATGCTTGGATATTCTGAACACCCTGTACGATTCCTGCGTCATCGAGAATCGTGAGCACGACGTTAGCGATTTCACGATTACCAACATCGGATGACAAACCGCACGTACGCGGCTAGGAATGAAAAAAGGGTCCTCCAAAATACTATTATAAACGAATGCTACTACGCTATAGACGGAAAAGCCATTATTTGTCGCTAGTGTACGTATGTCGTTGCACGAAAACTAACCACGAATCGTTACCTCTTGATTCGACGTACCAGCGAGATTAAATATCTAATCCAATTTTACCGATCCTGTGTTCCGAAAAGTAGCGAGGAATTCCCAGGGAACGTTAACATGAACCGTGCGTGTAAGACGCAACGAAATGGCACTTGAGAAACGGCAGGACGGAAAAAAAATGTGAACAACCAACGGAGCAAACACTCTCGCGTAAACATTCGCGTATACTGAGCAACTCGTAGCCGCTCTCGACCCACGTTCTCTCTGACGAAGTCTAAACGTTCCAATTACATGAAGCGCAGCATAGTCTATGCATCCAGTATGCCACAAGCAGCGATGGCGAGCAGCGACAAGCACGAAGGAACGTGGTGGAATGGAACCAAGTATATTTTTGAAAGTCAACGCGGCAATCCCACTATTGTTTCTTCAAATTGAATACACTACATCTGTATCGTATGTGCTATTTATTATCATGATTTTTCATACAATCGAAATATCGCTTCAGATACTTTATACATTTTTTTCAGTATTTACATTGGTTTCCGAAGAAATACGTTGATGCACGTAGTGAGGCGTGAAACAGGTTTTCGATGTTTAATCCGACTCGACTGTCTCGTGAGAAGTTTGAAAAATGAAGTTGGTCCTGGCCTCTCGAGCTAACAGAGACATTATTTACTTTAGGCGTCGTCCTTTTCAAAGAACTTTAGTCATGTCGCAAGCTGACACCTATACTGTACGTATGTTTTATTCTACAACGTACAAGGAGTGGAGTCCTTTTCGAGTCCGTTTCGAGATCATATAGAAGTTATAATATCCTATATAAATATCATACTACTCTGGTTACATATGTTTCTGTATGTAAATCCCACAGGTGCATCAGGTTATCGTCTGTCTGTATCGTGTAAAGCCAGATTAGATATCAGCCAATACCCGTCTCTACATTCGTACGATTCTTTCGCAGACTTCTGTGGCCTTCTTAAACGCACGTGATTGTTTCCAATTGACAAAGTGGCAGGATTTTCGCAGTTGTGAAGTTCAAAGAGTTTCAGCGGTTCTCATGCCGTCTATGGTAACTCCAACGGACGTGGACGCGTCTCTGACGTATAACGAACAAAGGAATTGCTGCTTCCATGCATTCGCAGTCCGTGAATGGTGTAAACATGTGCATACAGGAAGCCTTTCCGTGTATCAGGATATCCTTGAAGCTTTTATGGGGCCCTAAAGGATTCCTGATTTAACGTTGCTCAGCAAGTTCGCAACGTGCCAAGGTCAAGGACAACAGCATACTCGTCGGGTAACCCTTACCAAGTCTAACCTCTGCTCTTTTCCTTCCATTTACATTACCATTTACTATAGCTGATCGACAAGTCACACCGCGTATCTCTTAACACGGTGTACAGACAGGCAGTGCGTAAACAACTTGAACAGTCGAGAGTTTACTAGTGGGCAGTGCTCAATTGAGCCACTGGATAACTGCAATTTGTTCGACCGGAAACAAAAGGCAGAGACGTTGGGGGAGCAATATTAGACCTTACTCAAGTCTCTTGAGGGTTCGTTCTCTGCTCAAGTCTTTTTCCGCCTGTTCACGATGCAAGGCGTCATCCATTTATGTTCATTCAAAGAGTCATTCCAGGCTCTCTATCATACCTGAGCCTAGATCTATAGACATTGCTGAACAATAGACACAAGAACAGTTTTGTTTCATCGCTGAGGAATGAACTAAGGGCTCTATAGAAATCGTGCACAGATAACGACTCACAGTGTTCTTCAATAATTTCTGAGGTCTAATCGCTCGTCGATTTCGATTTGAAATTCCAACTAGACATAGGTCATTGTTGTTTCACGATTGGCATTGTTGAAAGACCTTGTAGAGCAGCGGTTACGATTGACATGCCTGCCTTGCAAATACGTGAAAGTTAATTACAATGTTAGGAAGTTACAGGTCGATTATGAGGTTATCTGAATCAGGTCGATGTTACATTTTCATTTGGAGAAGGAAAGAAGGCCGTTGAGAAATACGAGGGGCACGATCTGCGTCATAGAAACGCTGATTCTAGTATAACTGTTTTTTAAAATTAATTTGAAATTTCTTAACGGTCTTCTTATTTTGTCTAGTTAAAAAAGTACAAGAAATCGTTATCTAGAAAGAATTGATGATCATACGAAAAAAGTGTCCTCGGTGCTTAACTCGAGTCTCTTTTTAAGGTTATCCGATAACCGGTTATCCAATAAAACAAAAATCAAAATCCATACTCGTAGTGCCTTGAAGAAAATTTCAGTATAAATTAAAATCGTTAGCTACTATGTGACTGTGAGATAGACGCCATATTTTTTGGGCTATCTATTTTTGCATTCATTTAAACTCTACTAGCCTTCACGATCGAATTCGTGCTAAACCAAACTCCATTATTTGTTCACACAGCAACTAGAGAAAACATCCCCAAAAAAGAACTTCAGACTCATGCGCCATAATACTGTTTGTATTACGCGCGCGGAAACGACCGTGGCCTCCTTTTGCCATACATAGTTCAATTATCATTGTAAAAACTAGGCGTCAATCTAGTGATCCATAAAATCGTGCTATCTGCTCAGATTAAACAGGAAGTTTGCTTTACTCGTGTCATATGCTCTTTTGTTCGTTGCTAAGAGAAATTCAATTATATGCCATTTTTGTCACTTTGTCACGCGACAGCTTGATTCCAATTATCAATTGGATCACGTGCGCCAATACTATACGAGGTATACGCACATAGACTGTGAATACGAATAATAATCGAAGCGTAAACAGTAGGTACGCTAGTGAATCTTTACATACTATAGTTCCAATTTTACTATAGCACTGAATTTACTATGGATTCCGGCGAATGCGTAAGATACAAGATGCCTCTTATATGCTAGACAAAGTGTTTGCTTACCATACCATAATATAGTGTGTGTGTATATATATATATATGTACTTGAAACCTTCAAAAGCGTCAAGAGTAAACTCATAAGTCATTCGATACAAGTCCTGTTTTCATACTGCTAACTTAGGCAATGTTAAAATCAGTAGAACGCACCAATACGAGAAGAAATGTAAATCAACATCATCAAATATAAAATTAAACACGGAATAGCCTTAATCAGTGTACCGAACTAAATATCCCATAAGTGTATAAGGAACACTAAGTAGAAAATCATCAATAAACATAGAGAAAAATGACTTACCCATCAGATGTGCTTGGTACATCGTCGTAAACATCAGCATGCGTGATTATCGTCGAGTCCTTCATTTTAGTTTCTTGAAATCTACGTCACATGATAAAAACGTCAAAGCTGTCAGAAATCTTCGCAATTTTCTGCAAATATCCAGTAAATCCAGTCACGCATGAGGAGTAATTATTGATTACATTTATATACACGTACACCACTGATTAACACTAATGTTTTTAGTTTATCAATTAGAGAACCGGTTCGCGCAGTGTTTCATTAGAATATTGTCTCTTTTAGGTTATTTGAAGAATATATAAATTGGCACTAATCTCACTGTATATTTTATATCGTAAGGGAGCTGTACGAACGCAGAGAAAAGGGCCACCGTGAAAGTCACCGACCGGTTCCTGGTAGATTCGAATTTCAGTTGTTGTTCAGGAGACTCAACGTGAACACGCGTGGCCGTTCTAGCATCGACTGCGGCAAACCTTTCTCCCGCCCTTACTGCTGCTTACCACCGCGGCGGCAGAAGCTTGACTGGCCGTTCTCTCTTCGTATATCTATTACTCGTAGTTCACCCTTTACAGGCACGCAACTTTATATCCCCACCTTTTACACCCCTGCAGATAAATCCGTCTAGTGTCCATAGGCATTAAAAATCGTTTAGGATGAGTGAAAAAGCTGTTAGTTTACACGTAAAGATGTTGTAGGATCGTAAAATCGGTTAACGGATTAACAGGGATTCGAAGGACCAAGATAAAAGTGAATAAGAAAAACTTCAAAGATCCATCCCTCGGTCAGAGCCAAGGTGGTCCCAATTTATTAAACTTCCTTTTCATGTCTCTGACGAATGGTGAAATAACAAAAGATGTCCCCTTGGCGAAGAGAAATACATATGTATAGAAGGTTATGTCTCCTAGGCATAAAACGACAGAGCTCTTTTACCCTGCTCCTGAAATAGGCGAGGGAATTTATCCAGGAAAAATTTTCATTCTTATGCCACACTAGAGGATGATAAGTGACTCAGATGTTTTAGTTTTACTTTCTTTTCCCATTAGACACTGTGTTATTGGAATTATTACTGCTGCGTGATTCTATTGCGTGTGAAATAAATTCAGTGGATAGTTTTTGATTAATCGAACTGTAGGCATTCCTGACATTACTGCTTGACTTTGGCTCAGTACCTATATCATATCCATAGGATTTCGATCTGCTTCGGATTATCAGGGGTGATTGATGAAGCTTCGGATTTCGTGAGGCGCACTCGTAGTGCGTCATCGTGACTCGTGGACGATGCCTTTGGTTGGTCGTGAATAAGTTTCATGTAGGGCTGCACCCCGACCTCACAGTGAAGGAGGGTTTCGCCTGCACGGGGTGCCATAAAGGAAAGTCTATCGAGGGTGGCTGCAGTCAGATGCACTAGGTACTATTTATGGAGAAGCATTAGTCTGCACTGAGAGCAGAACAGACACTTGGAATTACGGATGCTCGTACAGTTGTACAGTATAAGGGAGCTTCTTCCATAAGGACGTCATGCAGCTAATATAACAAAGAAAATATTAGATATGTATGCTATTCTTAGAATCATTTAAATTCTATGGTATCTTGTATACTGTATCATCTAATAATAATTTCATTCGTTCTTTCTCGATCTATAACTGTCCTAAGACAACTGTCAACTCTGGATTACCTATTTAGTGCCTTTTTGTATACTTGACATTTCTCACGGTTCTTATTACATTCTATATCAAGTAAAACCTTTCATACTCACGTCACATACTACGTGGGAGTGTTTGAATAGCTGTAAAAATATTCTACTTCGTTCCCCCAGGGGTAGGAACGTCGTTTCATAGTGAAACTGTCAATGGCAAACTCATTCAACTGTTACATGGTATCCTTTGTATATCCTGACTGTTCCTCCATTCCCTCTTTCTCCCCGTTCTCCCCCAGAGAAATTCAACGGGAGCATAATGCGGAATTAGGGGTAACATCTGATGGAGTGTGGTAGGCCCGAACAAATGTCAGCCATAACTTTGTGTCCTATATAGGCTTTGGCGAGTGAAACTCGGATTAGCCTTAGGCTGGGTCAGGATCGTTAGCTAACGTAACATAATACCGGAAACGACCTTTAGAAATGTTAGTCTTTGAAAAAAAGTATACTCTCGCTCCTTCTACTGGCACTGTAATTTAGGACAGAGTTGTGGCAAGTGATAATAATTGACAGAGTCACGATACACTTATTTTTAATGATTCTTAATTTTCGAATAAGTGTGAATAGATTTTGTATTACAAATCCATTTTCAGTTCATCCATCGGCGCCTGGATATTGGCAGACTTTATACATCCGTGTCTCTAGACTTGCCGGTCAATTTACTATAGTTTGTTCTGCCGTGCCTATAGCAACAGTTTATTCCCATGCGTGATATAGTTGTATATGGAAGCTTACTTACATATAGACGTATAGTGTCTAGAAATGGATGCCACGTATATATTTCTTGCTGCTCACCTTGGACAATGGTTTCGAATATACTTATGTTGCACGTTCAGATAAGTACCATTATCTATTTCAGTCGCGCTTAGTTACGCAACATTAAAGAGAAATATAATTATAATCTCTGTTTCTATATAAGAATAATATCGCGTATCTTTTATATAACTTCATTGTATATTTAAAACGTTCTGTAGAATTCGCATAGCAGTGCATTACGTATTGTCATTGGACAATGACATTATGCCTAGTGGCAATGATTGATTATAAGAATTGATTACGCTGATATTGACTTATTTACATGTATAACATTGCTCCCCTCGATCTGATATACATAAGTCGAAGGATTTATTTTCTTTTGTTAATATTAATTTAGTGATTATTATATTTCAGATAGTCATAATGATTCGTAAAATTTCAAGTATATTTATAGGAATGAGAAATCTTATTTGTCACTGTTTTTTTTAGATGAATTTGCAAAGTCATGATGAAGCAATAATATTGAAGCGATAATATTGAAATGGAAATAAAATCAGACTCACCAGAATAATGACGAGTGATATTAATATGAAAAATATATTATTAAAGTTGCTCCTTACATTCTCCTTGCACTCTTTTGAACAATAGAATACGCTTACAAACTTATTGTGACTCTTTTGTTTTCTCAACCTTTAACTGTTTCTCACGAAGATTTACGAAACTCCAGACGTCGTCTGCGAGGAGTTGAGGTTCCTCAAAAGCGGCGAAGTGACCGCCTCGAGGAAGAACGCTGTACTGAATTGTATTAGGGTATTTAGAACGAATGATCGATTCTGGTTGAAATGCAAGTTCGTGAGGAAATATTGCACATCCTGTAGAAACCGGGACGGGTAATCTGTAATTAATAATTTTAATTACTGTAATATCCTACGGTACAACAAAATTTTTCAAATTTTATTGTATGCAAATATCTTACTCATCAAATCCAAGGGCTTTGTAGCTCTTGTTAAAGGTTTCTGCATAAAGTCGAAAACTGGTTGTGATGGAATTAGTTACCCAGTATACCATTAGATTGTCCAAAAGTTCATCAATAGTGAATTTTTCGAAAAGACCACCATCGTCACGGAATCTGTATTCCGGATTGGTCCAAGTACTAAACTTTTCCAAGATGTAAGCAGCCAAGCCAGCGGGTGAATCCGTTACGGCAGTACCTACGTTAAATCGCATTAATTAGCTTTGTTTATTAATTTCATTATCTAATTACACGCTATTGACATACCAACAGTGTCAGGTTTTGTAGCTTGGATATGCATGTATCCCGTTTCTTCAACTAGACGAAGCCAGTGATGGCTCAACGGATATATTCTTGGTATTTCCTCTTTGGTTGCTACCAAGGATGGTAAATAAGCACCAATAATGCTCCAAATCGTAGCGGAAGCAGTGTTAGAAAAACACATGTTAAAATGTGCTCCGGAAACCCTAAAGAGTTATATAACCACGTTTAGATAATGAAATATTTTATACAGCTTAAATTAAACTCACTTGTTTGGAAATTGTTGAGATAAGGTTGCAGTTATGACACTGCCCCAATCGCCACCCTGGGTGTAAAATTTATCGTATCCTAATCTCAACATGAGATTTTTAAAAATTACAGCCATCTAGACAAAAAATTATTACTTCGTAAATGTGTTTCACATCTTTTTCAATGCTTCAAAAATCTATAGTGAGTACCTGTGCGGGACCCAAACCAGGACGAACGGCAGCATCGGAAAACCCATATCCTGGGAGAGAAGGTGCGATAACTTCGAAAACGTAATCCTGATCAGGACGAGGGGTCGTTAGCAGGGGAAATATCTTTTGGAACTCGACGACGGAACCTGGCCAACCATGAACCAGCAGCAATGGAAGAACTCTGACATTTCTGTCTTTGGGAAGAGTTGGCTTCACATGGTAAAAGTGAATATCCAATCCTAATGGCCATAAACAGTTTACATATTACAGAGGAGGCATAGAAACGCTTCCGTTACAGTAACCAAACAAATAGCATACCTTGAATTTTAGTCTTGAATTGGGGATACTTGTTCAGCAGTTCCTGCCGCTTGGACCAGTCATATTTGGTTCTCCAGTGTTTGAGTACACTATTTAAAAAGGTGGTAGATATGCCATAGGTCCACCCAGCACCCTCTAGTGGTGGTTGCAGCTCCCTGGTTCTGTCTAACCGTTGGTTTAGTTCATCAATGACCTAAGAACAATCATTTACATTATCAATAGTGTAAAGTTAACCTCGGATAAACAGATGAGGATCAATCTTACACTTTTCGAAACATTTATTTTGAATGGCCTGATGCCTTCATTATCTTTCACGGCAGTTTTAGGACCCCAGTTTTGCTCAGGCAATTTCGGCACCGTTGGAGCCGGTTGATTTCTGCAAAAAAATTTAATTACGTGATAATATCAAATTCGATTATTCGCAGTGAATAACCTAAAACTTCAATATCAACATCATGCAAATAATTCAAGATATAAAGGCGTAGTTCAGAATATTTACTTCAAATAGAACGATATTCCAATGGTAACGAGAAGAATCAACGCCGCTAGTTTCAACATTGTATCCTAACTAGTTGACGTTATCGAAGCAACTGTACAACGTTCAGCGTGCTCTCGACTTTACTCTTACACCGAGGTTCGCTCAATAATATCTAATCTTTCATAATCATTGAGAACCCCTGAGCGAGTTAATAACAGATTGTGCCGTTCAGTAGCCAAGGCCGTCTACGTGTTTTTCGGTGCCCATGTCAAAGAAGCTCGATTAAACCTGACCTCTTCTAGGCTGTTCTGGCTTCATGGCACATTGGATGATTTCAAGTGGCGTATTGCATCCGTGCGCCTATTCTTTTGAAGTAGACGCCATAACTGCATCCATCTTCATATTTTCAACACCTGAGTGCACTCAGTTCCGCTCATCAGTTCATCCAATTTTTTTAAATTGGCGTATGGTATGCAAAAGGTTGGTCACCCCTGATGTAAACCGTATAAAGATTTAAGATTCTACTGATCCATCAACACGTGACTTTGCTCATTTATAATTTTATTCATTCAGAAATCACGTGACGGATAACCGAATCATAGCTGTTAACGCTATATATTTTTCTAATATATCTGTGACGTAACACATCTAGAAACAAACGTTTCTATATTTGTGAACAGAAAAATGACTATGCAATTATCAATCTCTGAATGTAAATTAGTGTTATGTTGATACCATGTGCATAAGACGATGTATTACTGATCGTTTATCAAGCGATTATTCTCCCTTCATAGACGTATAGCGTAACGGCGACAAGTTCATACTTTTTTAGTTAATTATTTTTTAAGCTTGCACTTACCGTGAGCATGTTACTTTTCTTGTCAATCTGTGAAACGGGATGCGAAAAATGCCACTCGGTTACAAGCAATAGTAAAACTAAAACTATTTTATTAAACGGATACAGTCTAAATTCGTGTACTAATTGCTGTAACGCAATCACAATGATCAACTGATTTATTGTGAATGGAGATCATGTGGCTACACATTTCACGCGTACTGAGAGCACGCAAAAATTTGATAATCGACCTTTCATCTTTTCACTCAAAGATAACAGGTATCTCACTTCGATAAACTTATTTCGCTACGTATATCGCATATTTCATGTATCGCTCGAAATATTGTAGAAATGTATGTAGTCGCAATATCCTTCCTTTGTTGTTACATATCATCATTGTAATGGACGTCTTTATATTATTTTTTTAACTATCAACAATAAATAATTATCCAGTTCGTTTGTAGAAAATTGAAAAGATATGTTGGTAAATGGCACAGCACTTCCGGAAGCAAATGAAAAACTATCCCGCTGAAAATGGCTTCAGATATCGGTACGTGTATATTTTTTAATGGTCGAAAAGTGTCGCTAACAGCGTGAGAGACATTTTTTATTTAATAAAAAAAAAGTTAGAAAACTATATAAAACACATTGGCTCCCAATAGTCCTATTGGGACATTAAGTAGAAATTTATTTATTCTTTCTTTTTAATACCCATGATGCTTAATGATGAGACGACATCTAATGGCACTGTTCAAGCAGTGAATTATTTACACGCATTAGCTTCAATAATTTCGGAAAGATTCGTGTTCTTTGTTTTTGTAAAAATTTAATTGGTAAACGTTTTAAATATCGAAGGAAGTAACATATAATCGTTTAGATCTAAGCTAATGCGTACGAATTATTATTGAGATATTGTATCTCCCTTGCATTGACAAACGCAAAAATTTATAACATGTTTCTACGCGTGCGATAGTAAATACAAATTTTAAGAATGCTAACAATTGGTATCAAGAAAAATCACTAATTTATCCGAATAAACTCTTCTAGAGTACTCGTCTAATATCAGTGGCGCAATTGATGTGGGAAAAAAAAAACATAACATTAACCTTAATAATAACACTTCTCGAATCGCTCGGAAACGGAAATGACCACGAGAAAAATAATTATTTGTGTAGAAAAACGTATTTAGAGATTCCGAATTTATGGTTAAAGGATGGAATTTACCCCTGTTACTTGAGAGTATATATCTCATTTAGGCAAGTCCTCTTTTCAACTTAAATGATATTAACAATAAACAATTAACGTACGATTACATTTCTCTTACATAGCCTGGTTAGGGTTGTGTCAAAAACGCTTTTAGTAGGGTACGTTGGAAAACAAGTATGAAACAGATTCGCCATTGTGGGTTCTTCTCACAGCTTCGGCGAACATCATCGAAACGTCAATGCACTGTAACAAAACAGAAAACGGAAAATATTTATTATTGCATGTGACAAAACCCATTTTACATTTGATTGATAATTACCTGAATTTTGGGGCAGTCTTTCATGTGACCATCCTGTGGTATGGTATTAGTTACTACAACGGCCTCGAAGCAGGCGTTATTAATCCTGCTAATGGCTGGTCCACTGAAAATACCATGTGTAAGAATGGCGTAGACTTTGGTAGCACCAGCCTCCAACAATTTCTCCGCCGCGTGACAAATTGTGCCGCAAGTGTCTGCCATGTCGTCTACCAGAATGGCTACTCTGTCTTTAACATCACCAACCAGCACCATACTGGCTACTTCATTAGCCTTTTTCCTTTCTTTGTGAATAAGAGCAAACTCAACGTTTAGTCGGTCAGCGATGGACGTTACTCTGTATAGGGAATAAAATATTATTAACCAGTTGCTGAATTTAATCTACACTAATATCATCAGCCAGCCAAAGCATACCTTTTGGCACCACCAGCGTCAGGTGATACGATGATACTATTCCTCCATTCTACAATATTTTCTTTAATCCACTTCAAAACTGCAGGTTCAGCAAAGAGGTTGTCCACAGGAATGTCAAAGAATCCTTGAATCTGACTAGCATGCAAGTCCATGGTTATAATGTGATCAGCACCAGCCACCGACAGCATATTAGCCACCAGTTTAGCAGAGATGGGTGCACGACTCTGTAAAATACAATAATGGGTAAGTTTTAAAAAAATGAGTGAGTCTCTCAAAGTCCATTTGCAACTGGGAATCTGTAATTTCAAAATATTGCTATTAATTTTTTATTCTCTCTTTAATATTCCCACCTTAAGTACTTAATGGAAGGGATACAAACGTTTAACAAAGAATATGTTAGTCTAGAGCACATTGTGTCTCATAGTAAACTGTAGTGATCATTGACTGAATTTGTACAGAGGGGACAAAATATGAATATAACAAATATGATATATGCTAAGAGAGCATCGATGGACTGTCAATGTTTAGACAAAGATAGAAATAAAGAGTTGAGAGACCAAGGGAAATAATGTGTTGCAAATGCACCCCAGTTAGACTCAAGAGGAACTGTGAGTGAAGCAAAATCTCTAGAGTTATTAAATGCAAACCAGGCACAATGCACTTTCATGTCTAATCTTTCTTCTAAGCGAAGAAAGATGAAGATTACCATGAATATTATCCAAATGATTAATACGTGAAAATAATATCTTACGTATTCAAAATTATATCACAATCTTATACAACAAGTAACAGAAATGCATTGTGCGAGGCATACTAACAATAAGTATTGAAATATTAGCAAACTACTCTCTAGTAATAGCTATTATTTCACAAAAAGCTGTTTCATGTTAATACTTTGATCATTCAAAATTTGCTGACAATAACAATAAACTTATAATAATAGTGTTACAAAGACGGCACAAGAAACATTCATATTTTACTAAACACCACTGTCAATAAGTGACCTGGTACTTATACAATAATTATTACATATTAAATATTAACAAGATTTCAAGCCACATAGCATATTAGTACCCAATGGTCAACGAACGAGTGTATATATATATATATATATATATACCCCATGTAACATCGATTACTCATAACTCATAACGTACACGCGGTTGCTATCATATTAATATTTTGCCCTCTCGTTCATATGTGAATATGTTTGCACCGAATAATCCATTCATTCACAAGGGTACCGCTGTCATTTGTATAAATAGCGACAATCAAAGGTTCTTGTTAGTCCTACGGAAATAATGACCGAATGGAATTAAAAGAATTTAATTACAAGTCGAACGGTCATCAAGTTATCATTAACAAACTCTCCACTCTACAATCTCGCTGCTCTATACTCACTGTCGACAGGTCGGGCACAAAGTCCTGAAAATACCCAACTATTCAGAAACTTTGAACACTGCACAGTACCGAATGTTTCCTACATTATCCCAACGTACATTTCTTGTAAAAATTTTATGATACAAAAAACGTTAAATAAAACACAAGCACATTCCTAAAAATACAAGAAGAAGCTTTGACGATAAAATTTGATTAAATTATCCATATACATTGATATACCTGGTACAAGATTACCTATCAAGTTTCTTGATACTTAAGGAATATGTTGCGACATTAATTACAAGAAAACAACATAAACTGATTATCATTGCAAAAACCGAGACCTATGTAATATGCCCCCCGCGATCGTTGAATATCAACGTCTATTTTGCAAGAGCAGTACAACTGCTTGGGTTATCTCACTTTCGATAACCCTAAGATAATTGGTAAACTATAGATGACGTCAAGGAAATATTTCCAATTTCATGTAATAATTCTTTTTACAATATTTGACCCACATTCCCCGATATCGCGACGCGGGCTGTTATATTTAACTTTTGAAATATATTCTCAGTACTGTAATTTGCAAGTAGAGAAAAAGAGTCATTATACTTTTGTATAACTACAAAACATAAATTTATAAATGCATTAAGAATAACTGTCTCTGTACATCGATTGGAATGAGCCATACGAATTTAGATAACTGGCTGGACCATTTATGTTACTTAATGATACCTAACGATAAATCTCCCACACACACACACACACACAATC